AATAAACTCGTAGCTGCTTATTAAAGTGTGTCTGTATAAAGAGGCACTAAGGATGACCCAAGAACACCTACCAGAGCAACATGAATTTTGCAAAAACTGAAGCAAGAACATATAAACAATTTATGGTGATACTCGGTGTAAGAATGGTCAAGTCATTGAAGCTTTATGAAAACTTTATGGGGACGGCGCTCCAGAGAAATCACCCGTTTATGGATGGATAACTTGTTTTAAGAAGGGATGCGGTGATGTTGAAGATATAGTCTGCACTGCAGAGGAAGCCTCACCGGGATATCCTGCCACAGAACAGCGGATCCTGGGGTGGGGGCTGAGGGCGGGCGGCAGCAGCTTCCTGGCCCTGCTTGAGCTGGGCGGGTGCCTCCCAGAGCTTATGGAGAAATACCACGGTCTGGTCTGGTGTGGATTGGACAGGGGTGCCTGTTGTCCTGTCCTGCTGTGGGGTTGTAATAACCCAAAAAGGTATTTTCCTGGGTCCCGGGAGGGTGGCTCAGTGACACTGCTTTGGACATTAAGGTCCCCACTGCCAGGAATCCTAGCCCCAAGCCCACACAGATGGTTCTGTAGCTCAGGCCCGATGCTGGGTTGGTAGGAGTCAAACCCAGCCACTCTATGGATGGAACTCCCTCAATGGAGTGAGTTGATCTTTAAGTGCAGCTGATGTGCAGCCAGAATGGGCACAGGAACCACAAGCTGAGGGTGGAAGCCACTGGTGTCGCCTCCTGAGTGCCCTGTGTAAGTTCCTGGTTCATTCTCCCTTCCAGCCTCCTGCTAATGCTGCACCTCCCCCACTCCCTCCCCATGTCCAAGGTGATGGCTCCCACCACCCACCTGGGATCAGATTTCCCTCCTGCCTTCTGGCTTGGGTCCTCCTTCTGGCCATTATGCGCCCTTAGGGGGGGCACCAGCAGATGGGGCGGTGGTTCTGTCTTGAAATAAAAAGTTTTAAAAGGAAAAAAAAGAAAGATGGAATCTGCAGAGACAGACCAAATACATCAGTTGGCAAGTCAAAAATCAATCTTGTTCGTGCCAGAATTGAAGAGAATTAACCATTAGCAACAGAAACAGTAGCCACACTATAGACATTAAAATTGCTTTGGCTTACACAATCCTGACTGAAAATTTAGAGTTAAGAAAATTTCCTGCTTGCTGGATACCAAAACTTGTGCTCAGATCAGCTGCAGACAGAAGCAGACAACTCAGTGGAAATTGAAACAACTGGGATGAAGCATTTCTTCAAAGAATTGTGACAGAAGACAAAGCATAGTTTTACCAGTATAATCCTGAAGACAAAGTACAATCAGAGCAGTGGCTACCAAGAGGTGGCAGTGGTCCAGACAAGGCAAAATTAGACTGATAAAGAACAAAGGTCATGGCAACGATTTTGGGGTGCTCAAGGCATTTTGCTTTGTTGACTTTCTGGAATGCTAAAGAAAGGCAACACCTGCTTATTATGAGAGTGTTTTGAGTAAATTAGCCAAAGCTTTGGCAGAAAAACATCTGAGAAAGCTTCACCAGACAGTTCTCTGCCATAACTGATCCTGCTCATGCCCTTCAAGAAATGAGCGATTTGGGATAGTTTGATGGGAAATCACTAGGCACCCACATTTCAATCTGGAGTTGACTCCTTCTGACTGCTTTTTATTTCCTAAACTTGAACAATCTTCAGTTCAAAATTTTAAGACTATATTGATATGGTTAAATTCCTGGGATCTTCAGTTCTTCACAGATGGGCTATGTGATAGGTATCATTGCTTACAAAAGTGCCTTGAACTTAGAATGGGAATTTAGTCAAGCAATGAAGATGACCACATCTCACACCTGAGTGCTTGGGGTCAATTCCTGGCTCCAGCTTCCCACAAATGCAGACCTGGAGAGGCAGCAGTGATGGCTCAAGTAATGGGTTTCCTGCCACCCATGTGGGAGATCCAGATTGAGTTCCTGGCTCCTCACTCCAGCACGGATCAGCTCCAGCTACTTTGGGCACTTGGAAAGTGAACCAGCAGATGGAAGCCTTCTGTCTGTTTCCTTTCTCTTTCTGTCTCCTTTCTGACTCTGAAATAAAAAAAAAAACGTTTTTCAAGGCATTTTGAGGTTGGTGGAGCTTATGTTGAGAAATAAAGTTTATGTAGATACTTTGGAGAAATGAAGTAAGCAAAGAAGAAGGAAAAAGAAAACTGTCTTGACTTTGAAATAATTAGGGTTAACATTTTATGCATGTGTGTTTTAATGGAATCATACTGTAATATTACTTTGTAATTAACCGCATATCATGACTATTTTATATCAATAACTGGACTTTAACTATATTGTTATTATTTGATCTATAATTTTCTATTCTGTGGATATAATACTAGTTATTTACTCAACCTCCTGTTATTGACTATCTAGGCTATTTCTAATCTTACTTTTATAACAATGTTTATGATAAGCACTCTTGTAACTAGGGCGATCACTTATATTCTTATTTTTATAAGGTAAATTCACAAAAGCAGAATTGTAGGACCAAAGCCTACATGCATTTTTAGAGTGTTTGGGATGAAGCCAAATGTAGTGTAACTTCGTAATCCTATCCTAATGCCCAGGATTTCTTTTCTCCAATTTATTTTGCTCAGCATTACCAGATTCAGTCTTATGTTACTTCCCACCTTAAAAGCACCCCAGGATTTAAAATCCTCAGCCTAGCTTTGAGGCCCCGCAGTCTGGGCGCAGCCTACCTCTCCAAATTCATCTCTCACTGCTCTCCTTGTTGCCCTACATTCCATGCTGTGGCTCTGCTGTTAGAATCCTGTGGAACACACTCCATTTCTGCCTTTTCTCCACCCACTGTAGATACAATCCCCTTTACAAACTCTCATAGCCAAGTGTGAACCTCACTTCTGGCGTTTCTCTGGTTCCTCCCCCTGTGGCTCCTATCTTTTTAATCCCCCTCACCACATGACACAGGCTTGTAAAGCTCCCATGAAGCTGTCTTCCTTTTCTTGTAGGAACGACTTGGTTATGCTGCAGTAACAAACAAGCCCCACGTCTTAGAGGCTCAAAACAAGAGGGCTCCTTTATCGCTTATGCTGTGTCTGCCTTGTGTCAGCAGGGGCTTCTCTTCTGTGACATCCTTGCCCTGGGATCCAGGAGCCCCTGCCTTCTGAAACTGATGTGGCAGCAGAGCTGGAGGAGTTCACATTGACCATGAACTGTTCCTATCTGGAAGTGACATTTCTGCCACAAGCCCTTGGCCATAATCAGCCACATGGCTCTCTCACAGGGGGAGCACAGTAAGGAGGGATCTCCCAAATGACGGGTGGGAGGGAAGGATCCTAGAGAGAAACACGAAGTCGCTACCGCAGTAGCTAGAATGGTGGCTTCCCTATAGTGGGCAATCAATAGATGTATCTTGTAAGAATGAACAAGAAATGAATCTATACGTAGTTATATAACTGAAAGAATGCTGGTTGAAATAGAATATTTCTTTTTCAAAATTATTTGCATTTTATAAGTAGGAGAATGACTATATAGGCTTTTTTTCTATCAAGTTTAAATCTATACATAGAACACTATTATGCCTCTCTCTCTCTCTCTCTCTCTCTCTCTCTCTCTCTCTTTAAGGGGGAGACGTGGAATCAGGGAATTGTGAACACATCATAAACTTTCAGGAGAAGTAGGAACTGCACCATAGTCATAGAAAATAACTAGACAGAAAAATTGTGTTAGATGGTGCTAATCTGATGGGTGGGGTGGCTTGGTTGATCCCAATCTTTCACTCAGGAAATGCACTTCTGCAGACTAGAATGTTATGAAGCAATGACAATGTTATGTCATCCTCTGGGGAGGACGAGCCTGGGCTGTGACATGGGGGGGGCACAAGGAAATGTGTGCACCCCACAAGACTCTGAGCCTCATCCACAGAACTGGCACAGCTCAGTGCTGTTCCCCTGGGAGAACTGGGTTCTGACCAAGGTTCTCTCCATTCATGACCTTGAGTCTGCAACCTCAATGGATCTCCATTTCTTTTGCAACTAATAAGATTATTCTCACTCTAGCAAGGTAACACTTCTTTTTAAATAAAATATTTTCATCTACTTAAAAGGCAGAACATGAGAGAAGGAGGGAAAGAGGGAGGGAGGGAGAGAGAGAGAGAGAGAGAGAATCTTGCACTTGCTGGTTCACTCTTGAAATGCCCACAACAGCCAGGGGTGCACCAGGCCAAAGCCAGCAGCCAGGAATTCCATCCACGTCTCCCTTGTGAGTGGCAGGGACCCAAGTCCTTGACTCATCCTCTGCTGCCTTCCCCAGTACTTTAGCAAGAAGCTTGCTTGGAAGGTGAGGAGTTTTCTCTGAGGTGGGATGCTGACATCCTCACTAGCGGCTTAACTCCGCTGCATCTTATCAGCCATCCAGAAGTAAAGTTTCAAGTTCAGAAAATTGAACAGAACCCCTGTGGTTGTTGTGTTTGAAACAAATGTAAATGAGGGTATGATAATGTTTTTAGAGTCACCATTGCATGTTGTGTGTGTTTTCATTTAAGAGAATTTGTTTTGTTAGGTGTGGATCTTGATTAAATGCCTAAGAGATCTTTATTAAGTTTGAAATTAGCATTTAAATATTCAAGGCTTCATGGTTCATGAAATGTGTAGCCTGACTTATTAGTTGCTTAATGGTGTTTAAATACTTGGGGGAAATCTGCTTAATCAGAAGTAAAAGCTTGATAAACTGAACATTAAACAAAACTAAGTGCTGGTAAGTGTTCTTTCCATGCCAGTAGCCTTGAGACATTAAGGATCCTAGCAACAGGCAAGGCAGCTATTGTCCAGTAGATTTAATTGGCCATATTTTGGAGCAAAAATGCATGATGTCTGGCTACTACGATTGAGGACAAAATCCAAGTTAATATGCTTAGCAGGAAAAACAGCAACTACATTGGTTACTTTTGTAATCATGTCTCTTGACAAGGGTCAAGGTTCAATTTGTGGCTTGGGTCATAGGCAAATGGCTCGCAGTGTTCACTTCTCTAGTAATAAGTCCAAGATATATTCCTGCAAAATTGCTTCCAGGGTTGGCATTATGGTGTAGGAGGTACAGCTACTACTTGGCGATGCCGGCATCCCATGTGGATGCCAGTTCTTGTCCCAGTGGCTCCACTTCTGACCAAGCTCCCTGCTAATAGCCTGGGAAAGCAGCGGAAGATGACCCAAGTGTCTGGGACTCTGCCACCCAGGTGGGAGACCAGGAAGAAGCTATTGGCCCCTGGCTTCAGCCTGGCCCAGCACTGGTTGTTGTGGCCATCTGGAGGTATGAACCAGCAGATAGAAGCTCTCTCTCTCTCTCTCTCTTTCTCTCTCTCTCCCTCTCTATAGCTGACTCCCAAATTAATAAATGAATCTTTAAAAATTTTTAAAAATAAAAATGCTTCTAAGGTTAAGCTTTCTAAAGTGAAGAGGATTGAGAGGTGAGGGTTTTAGAAAAAGAATAAGCTATGAAACTTGGTGATCAAAGGACTTTTAGGACACGAAAGATAAAGACAGACTTTTATGTTGTGTTCATGTGAAACCCTTCCATCCCTCCCAAATGCTCATCAAAGCTACTAAATAAGCAAATGATTAAAAAAAAAAAAAGAAAAAACAATCTGAGTTCTGAGAAGCCTCACTTCATTTAAAAAAAATTTTTTTTTTAATTTTTAAAAATTTTTTTGACAGAGGCCGGCGCCACGGCTCACTAGGCTAATCCTCCGCCTGCGGCGCCGGCACACCGATTCTAGTCCCGGTCGGGGTGCCGGATTCTGTCCCGGTTGCCCCTCTTCCAGGCCAGCTCTCTGCTGTGGCCAGGGAGTGCAGTGGAGGATGGCCCAAGTGCTTGGGCCCTGCACCTCATGGGAGACCAGGATAAGTACCTGGCTCCTGCCATCGGATCAGCGCAGTGCGCCGGCCACAGTGTGCCGGCCGCGACAGCCATTGGAGGGTGAACCACAGCAAAGGAAGACCTCTCTCTCTCTCTCACTGTCTAACTCTGCCTGTCAAATTTTTTTTTTTTTTTTTTTGACAGGCAGAGTAGACAGTGAGAGAGAGAGAGAGAGAGAGAGAAAGGTCTTCCTTCTGTTGGTTCACCCTCAAATGGTCGCTATGGCCGGCGCTGCGCCAATGCGAAGTCAGGAGCCAGGTGCTTCCTCCTGGTCTCCCATGCGGGTGCAGGGCCCAAGCACTTGAGCCATCCTCCACTGCACTCCCGGGCCACAGCAGAGAGCTGGACTGGAAGAGGAGCAACCGGGACAGAATCTGGTGCCCCAACCAGGACTAGAACCCGGGGTGCCGGTGCCACAGGCGGAAGATGAGCCTAGTGAGCTGCGATGCCAGCCAGACACCTCACTTCATATAGCTATCAAGCCAGAAAAATTAAACTGCCAGTCTTTGCTAACATAATGTCATTCACAGATGTGCCTGTGACTATCTTGCTGGGGCCAGTGGCTGATGGTCAGTCATTTTTCTGGAACAGTCACTTGGACTTGACACTTGCCTGGCTGATCTCGGCTGTTCTGAGGATTCTCCAAGGACTTAGGAGCTAATAATGCTCAGGGATTTGGTGTCCTGTTGAACTCCTTAATCCCCTGCTTCCTGAATCCCACCATAAGCCGGGGCCTTCTGTCACGTCCCAGGAGCTGCAGGGGTCTGGAAGCTCTGCTAAGGAGGCTGTGCGCCACCTCTGGGGGTCCTTAGCAGGTACCCCCTAGGATTTCCTCGGACATTTTCACCAAGATGTGTATCCTTGGCTCTCAGCCTCAGGTATCTCTCTAAGGGTCTTTCCTTCCGCCAGCAGCAGCAGCTCTGCAAGCCACACCATGGGCGACCTCAGCCGAGATGCTGTGGAGAAGTATCTCGAGCAGAACCCACAGTTTGCCAAGGAGTACTTCGACAAGAGGCTGCGGGCAGAGGCCCTGGGGGAAATCTTCAAGAACAGCCAGGCTGCAGTCCCGGCCAGCATGTCCTTTGCTGAGCTGACGCAGGTGGAGGAGGCGGCCGTGTGCCTGGAGCTGCTGTTGACCGTGCAGGAGGAGGCGGGCGGTGCGGAGCTGGCAGCGCACCGGGCCCTGCAGAGGCTGGCCCAGCTGCTGTGTGCCGAGCGCTGCAGCCTGTTCATGTGCCGGGCCCGCAATGGCACGCCGGAGGTGGCCTCCAGGCTGCTGGACGTCACGCCCACCTCCAAGTTGGAGGACAACCTGGTGGCCCCTGAGCGAGAGGTTGTGTTTCCACTGGACATCGGGATAGTGGGATGGGTTGCTCACACGAAGAAAGCCCTGAATGTTCCAGATGTGAGAAAGGTAGGTGGCCGTAGCGGTGGGAGAGGAGTCTTGGTGTGGTCAGTGAGGACCCACTGGGGCAGGGATGATGCCCTCCTTGTGGCATTGGTTGGGCTCTCACCGGGAGAATGCAGGCAATGGGGGGAAAAAGTACCCAGGTTTAGCATTACCAGATTTAGAAAAAAAAAAAAAGATACAAGGTGCTCAGTATATATTCAAGTTGAACTTGAATTCCAGATAGTTTTTTTTTTTTTAAAGATTTATTTATTTGAAAGGGAGAGGGAGAGAGAGAAAGAGAGAGAGAGAGAGGTGTCTTCCATCTGCTGGTTCACTCCCCAAATGGCCTCAACAGCCAGGACTGGGCCAGGCAGAAGCCAGGAACTTCTTCTGGGTCTCTCACATGGGTGCAGGGGCCCAAGCACTTGGGCCATCTTCCACTGCTGCTTTCCCAGGCACATTAACAGGGAGCAAGAGCAGAAGTGGAGCAGCTGGGACTTGAACAGATGTCCACGTGGGATACTGGTAAGACAGTGAGTTTACCTGCTATGCCACAGTGCTGCCCCCCACACCACACCTGCCCCACCTTTTTAGTATAAGTATGTCCTGTGTGATGTTAGGCGTGGTATCAGGCGATCTTACCCAAGCCTGGTGCACGCCACGCCGCCTCCGGGGCACTGGGATTTTTCTTCTGAACAACACCATTGAAGCAAGCCACCCCCTCCCGGGGGGAGCTCAGCCACAGTGCTTACTGCCAGGACTTGGAAACTGCCCCACCACGCCTCCCATTCACACTCCTCTGGCGACGGTTAGTTCTCAGGGATAGACTGGCTCACTAACTTTATCACCTACAGGCCAAATGTGCAGAAACCAAAAAACTGCCCCGATTGAAAGTTCAGGAATTAGCCATTGGATGGTTACAAATATGAATCTGGGTGATGGTGAAGGGAGACTGCTTCCCCTCAGCCCTGTATCTCAGATCTAGCAAGAATGAATTGCAATGAATTCCGGAACACCAGGAGCACGCTGGCCCCTTACAAGGCATTGCCCTTTATAAACACAGAGCCATTAACTCTTTCTCCTTAATCGTCGCGATACATACACATTCTAGAAAGATTGTAGCATACAGATAAGCAAAAAGGAAGAAGTATGAACTCCCTTTAATCCCTCCACTCCACAGCAGTCATGAGTGGCAGCCCTCTCCCTCTGCACCTGTCCCAGAGTGTCATTTCCCACTCACAAAAGGGGAGAAATGGGGGATGGCGCTGTGGCGTGGTAGATTAAGCATCCGCCTGCGGGTATCTGGATGCACCGGCGTCCCATATGGGCACAGGTTTGAGTCCCTGCTGCTCCTCTTCCAATTCAGCTCTCTGCTAATGGCCTGGGAAAGCAGTGGAAGATGGCCCAAGTGCTTGGGCTCCTGGCTCCTGGCTTTGGATTGGCTTGGCCATTTTGGACATTTGGGGAGTGAACCAGCAGATGGAACTTGCCTCTCAAGTAAATAAAGAATTCTTAAAAAGAGGGAGGGATAGAGATGGACTGCGATGGCCCAGAGTTGGACGGGAGCAGCTGCTGACAGAGTTTCTGAGCGGCGGTCTGCCGGCCTTGCAGGCCAAGGCCAGCTGCTTCACGTGACTAACCTGATGCCTGCCCTCACGGCCACGCTCCTGGCACCAGTGAGAAGGCCGTCAAGTTTTCTCTTAGAAATGTGCCTCCTGAGGGTCTCCAGTGGGCACCACCTCCGAAATGACTAGCCTATCAACCTTCAGAAAATGGCCCTCGAGAAGTGTTTTTCAGAAACAAATTTTAAGGAAGAGATGGGCAAAATTGCTCCTGCTGGGAGAGTTAAGGCGCCTCGTTCTCCACGTAGAGCTCACAGCTGCAGAAGTGAGCAGGTGGCCTGGGCCTGTTGCTGTTCACGGGGAACATGTCTGCATGGGTGGGGCCTTCCGTGGAGAGTCTCACCCTGTGCTTCTAGGGGTTCCTGGCCCTTCTGAGTGGGACAGAGAAGTGTGCGTTCAAGACACACGCTCTCCCGAGCTCAGAGCGGGAGGAAAAGGCCTCAGCTGCTTTCCATTTCTGTCGGTGATTTTCCATGCTGGCTGTTAATCAGGACGCAGGCTCACTACTTTTTAGAAGCTGCAGGATGGCCGGCGCCGCGGCTCACTAAGCTAATCCTCCGCCTTGCGGTGCCGGCACACTGGGTTCTAGCCCCGGTCGGGGCGCTGGATTCTGTCCCGGTTGCCCCTCTTCCAGGCCAGCTCTCTGCTGTGGCCCGGGAGTGCAGTGGAGGTTGGCCCAAGTACTTGGGCCCTGCACCCCATGGGAGACCAGGATAAGCACCTGGCTCCTGCCATCGGATCAGCGCGGTGCGCCGGCCGCAGCGTGCCAGCCACGGCGGCCATTAGAGGGTGAACCAACGGCAAAAAGGAAGACCTTTCTCTCTGTCTCTCTCTCTCACTGTCCACTCTGCCTGTCAAAAAAGAATAAAAAAAAAAAAGAAGAAGAAGAAGCTGCAGGTGACCCCCATACGCAGCCCGTGTTGAAAGCCACTAGCGATGGAGGGAAGCAGATGCAGGAGGAGCAGTGAACTTGCAGGCAGCTGTGGTGTATTAGAGATGGGCGGGACCCTGCGAGTCTGTAGGCCACTCTGTCCCAGGGCAGACAGGAGGCTGTGGTCACAGCGTTGTGTCTCCTCCGGGCCAGGTATGTGTCAATGAGTGGGAAGGCTGGGACAGAATCAAGGACCCCTGACTCCAAGCCCAGGGCCCTGCCACCCATTCCCTGTCCCAGCAGTTTCTCCTTGCTGTAGCTGCCATGCTACCATCTGCACCAAGAAAGGAGGGAGAAACCAGTGTTTTAAGTGAAATTTCTGATCAATTCTTCACCTTTTTATTGCCCCTGATGGCTTTCAAAGCATTTTCTCATTTTCAGTCTTACGTGGTTCTACCAAAGACTCTGAGCAGGAGGGCAGGAGCCAAGTTTTTATTTCCCTCTTTAAACAGTGGCATCCTGCTTGGGGTCACGTGGGTAGGAAGTGCCTGGTCTGGGACCTTTTAAACTGGGTCTTCTGGAAAGAGTTTTTGTTTTCTTCTTTTCATTTGAAAGCGTTTTCCATCCACTGGTTCACTCCCCATGTATTTACAACAGCCAGGGCTGGGCCAGGCTGAAGCCAGGAGCCTGGCACTCCATCCAGGTCTCCCATGAAGGTGGCAGGAACCCTGAGCCATCATCTGCTGCCTTCCAGGTGCACATTAGCAGGAAGCTGCACTGGAAGCGGAGTCAAGACTCGAACCCCGGGTGCTTCAGTATGAAGTGTGTGTCCCAAGGGGCCGCTTAATCACTATGCCACAGAGCCCACCTCCAGCCTGGGTCTCCAAGGCCCCCCTCTTCCTGCCACACCACTGACCACACGTGCCTTTTCTCTGGTAAGCCGTGTGTGCACAGGGAGGAAAAGCCTTTTCCACCTGGGCCAAGAATCAGAATGACATGTTCCCGACGTTGGGGGTCTGTGACTGCGGTGACAGGGAAGCCATAGGGCGTAGGGTGAGTGCTTTGGCATCAGGCAGACGTGGCTGCAGATCTGGTCTGAGGCTTAGGAACAGTGGGATGGATTGAGTTTCTGCACCTGAGAAATGCAGATAATCAAGGGTACAGATGAAATGTAGATCAAGGGTCTGCCTCACAGTAGAAGCTCAACCCGTGCTGGCTGCGATAAGGAGCTGCTGATGCGGGCAGGGGCTTGGGCGCTGGCTGGGGAGGGCCAAAAGAGTCAGGGACTATTGTCTGCCTTAGAACAGGTTAAAGGCAGGAAAACCTAACAGGGAGCAGACATGTCCTCTGCAAGTTAACTGTTTTGTTTTCTGTTGGGAAAGCTGTTCATTAACTGAGGGCTCCTGGTTCGGACTGTGGTTTCAAAGACAGCCACGGGAGAAGGCTGAGGTTTTCAATAATTAACTGGGCGCCTGGCTCGCTTCCCTCCCTCCTGGCCCTTCCTTCTGTCTCTGCCTCCTTATCTCCAGGGTCACTGGTGTTGGATCAGATTTAGCAACCCTGACATCAGCCGGGATCAGGCTCTGCCTGCTCTGACAGCCTTCTCCCGTGACCTTCAGGGGCTTCTTTGGAAAGGGCCACCAAGGGAGTTCCGGAAGTTGGGAAAACACAGGAATTATTCAGGGGCCTGTTGGAGCTAGTGAAAAAAAGACCTAGCAGGCCTCATCTCCCCTACCCAGTAATCTGGGGGTTGGGGGGAGGGAGATTATCCAGGTCTTTGAAAGCTACATAAGCAAGCAAGAAAGTTTTTTTGTTTGTTTGTTTTTTGTTTGTTTTGTTTTTTTTTTGTTTTTTGTTTTTTTTTTTTTTGTAAATAAGACTTATTTAGAAGGGGAGCAATAGGAAGAGGGCGAGGTCTACGATCAGCTAGTTCATTCTCCAAAGGCATGCAGTCAGGCCATAACCAGGAACCCAATCCTGGTCTCCCGCACAGGTGCCGGGGACCCGACTCCTTGTGCCATTACCTGCTGCCTTCCAGGGTAGACATGAGCAGGAAGCAGAGCTGGGACTCGAACCCAGGCATTTTCCAAGATGGGATACAGGTGTCCCAAGGGGCATCTTAACCCTTGCCCCAAACTCCTTGCCCACAAATATTAAAGTTTGAAACTTAAGAGTCATTGTCTCAGAATAGCCCATTGAACTTAAGGATCTGTTTTGCATTTAGAATCCAGAACACGGTGGCCTCAGGTGCCGCAGGTGCAGAGGGAAAGCTGTGCTGTGACTTCACCCCATGGTGTGTGTTTCCGATGCCTGTGCAAATGCAGGTGATTCTGATCCACAGTGGCTAATAGGAGAGCAGTGCAGCGGGCCGAGGCGAGCAGTGGATTAAGGGAAAGATGTCCAGAGACATCTGTGCTAAGGCTAAAGAAGCTACAAGAAGCAGAGAAGGGACGGGTACTGTGGCCGGGAAAGAATGGCAGCTGTTGGTGGCACAGGGTGAGTGCTGGGCCTGCTCCCACACCTAGGAGGCCTGCATCCAGCTCAGGGCATCGCATCTCTTCAGGGCTGTGAGCTGGCTAGGAAAGCTAGAACTCGAAGCAAAAATGGAAATCATACAAAAGAACTGCCTTTCATCCGCACCTGCCTTAGGCTTCTCTTGTTGATACCTATCGGGCACCCACACTGCACCACTTTGCCAAGTGCGCTCCCCGCCACCATTCTGTCCCGCCTTCATGGCAGGGACGTTAGGTTGTAGGAGAGAGCATCCTTCGCCCCATTTTCAGGTTAGAAAAGTGAAGACACAGGAGATAAGTAGCATACCCAGGGTCACCCTGTTAGTGCCTTGGGGCCTAGCTCTAGCCCAGGAAGGTGATTCTAGAACCTTCTTTGCCATAACATCATGCTGCTTCCAAAGGAAATAGTTGGCTTGGGAAAGGTATGGGTTGATTCCCTTAGTATCACACATTTTCTTTGTGAAAGGTCTCATTTCTAGTGCCCTCCAAGGAAGATGCTCCCATGTGGCGCAGCATCAGAGTTACCCAGCGCACTTGAAAGCACAGATTCCTGGGGAATACGGATCCCACTTTGGGAGACTTGGGTTCGGAGGCTCTGCTGTGAGACTCTGGAGTGCATCTAACTGCAGGTGATTGTGAGATCCAGCGCAGGTGCTGTTTCGAGCGCCTGAGCCGGGAGTTCTGTTGGTTGAGCAGCCCTAGTTTCTCTGGCCTGGAAAGCACACCCCGTGAGTGGCTCTCGGGTTTCTGCTTTGGGAAGTAGCAGTGTGTAGCCTCCAGGGTTTGTGGTGCTTTTAGAAGCACCATCGACATGACATCAGTTTGGGCCAATGAGTCTCAGGGTTAGGCTGAAGTTCAGTGCTAATTGAAGATCCAGGCCAGAGTCCCAGGGAAGAGCAGCGGGACTCATGGAAGGCTGAGCAGCTGCGTCTACACCCATCGGGGCGGGGATTCCCCTAAAGGACAGCTTCCTTGCCCTCTCAAGCCTTTCATTCGTGTTTCAGCCCAGACTCCTCACTCGGCCTTTGCCATGGCCAGGGCGTTAGAATCGTCTCTTGCATCTACTACAGGAGGCTTGCACCCGGGAAGATCTTTCCCCTCTCCCAAAGAAACATAAAATATGGATGGTAGACATGAGTGTGGCAGCACATTAAAAACTGAAGCATCTCGGGGCCCGTGTTGTGATGCAGTAGGTTAAGCTGCTGCCTGCAATGCCGACATCCCCCAACACTGGGATGAAGGTTGAGTTCCAGCTGCTCTACTTCCTGCGCAGCTCCTTGCTAATGTTCCTAGGAAAGCAGTAGAAGATGGCCGAGAACTTGGGCCTCTGACACCCATATGGGAGATTCATATGGAGTTCCAGGCTCTTGGCTTCAGCCTGGCCCAACCCCAGTCGTTACAGCCATTTGGGAAGTGGATGGAAGATCTCTGTTTCCCTCTCCCTCTCCCTCTCCCTTTCAAATTAATAAAATAAATCTTGAAGTATCTGATGGTGGCAAGAGGGTGATCCTCTTAGACCAGCTCAGTGGAAATAAGAATTTGAATCTTTTGTAAAAGTAATCTATGCAGCTCTGGCCGTAGCGGCCAACTGAGGGGTGAATCAACGGAAGGAAGACCTTTCTTTCTGTCTCTCTCTCTCACTGATTGTGGGGAGCAACTCGGACTAGACTAAGTTACTGGAATTAAGACTTATTCTATGCATCTGCTCTCCCACAATATGGCGCTGGGAGAGGAGGAAACAGCTTCTACACAGCTGCCTCCAGTTCAACCAATAAACAGCAGGACCTGCTCCTGATTGGAGGAGAGCAGCGTACTCGGCGTGTGGGTAGCAGAGTTGGGATTGGTGGAAGAGGACTATAAAGGAGGAGAGAGACAACATGCACCAGGAACATCTATCTGAAGGAACACCTGTGCAGCCCCCGAGAGAGCTGGCCGGCGGTGTGCCGCTCCCCCGCGGAAGTGGGGAAAGTGGCAGGGGGAACCGCCCTTCCACGGAGGTGGAAGGGATAGTAGCCAACCCGGGAAGAACCAGCAGTAAACCCGGGGAGGGCCGAGCAGACGAAAGAACAGCGCAGGGTCCTGTGTCGTTCCTCCACGAAGAGGGGGAGCGACATAATGGTGCCGTGACTCAGATATGAAGCCTAGGCAGGGTTTAGTGTCGTTCCTCTGCGAAGAGGGGGAGGGACAACTGATAACTCTGTCAAGTAAATAATAATAATAAAAAGTAATCTATGCAAATAAAAACTGCTTACACCTGTGGATCAAGGCACTCTGGGGACTCCATCACATAAAATTTGAAGTAAGGGTGATTAGGGCCCTCGTGCGTGTCGGAACGGTTACATGAGTAGGGAATAGTTGAGTGCGGAGCACCACGCGGGAATCTGCGGGATGGACTCACATCCATGTGCCTAGGTCTGGAGGGAAGGACATGGACATTGTGAAGTGATCAACGTGCCAGGGAAAGTTAGAAAAGCACATTTTATATCGAACAATAAAAACCTTTGACCAAGGAAAGGGGAGGGCAGAGAAGGAGACACACCAAGCAGCCGAGGCTGAGTTCCTCAAGTAGGTGAGATTAGGAGTTGAGGGGAGCAGTAATAGTTCTTTGTTACTTGTAATGTATAGGTCGGCCAATTGCACGAGCGTGCTTTGCTTCTGCAGTTAAGGAGAGGAGCTCTTGGAACTGGGGCTGCGATCCCAGCTTGCTCTCCTTTCCCTTGTAGAGTTTCTGTCCATTGCAGTCCTGTGCCTTCCTCAGCCTTCCATTAAGCATGTCGCTTTCTACTCGGCCTTGATAGAGCCTCTTTCCTCTTGGTCCATCAGCCTAGCCTAGATGGGCCGTAGCTCAGGTGGGAAATCCAGTCTGAAATGTGCAGTTTCATCCTAGGCAGCTGTGGGATGGTGGGTGGGGTGGAAATGTAACCACTGTGCAAGGGCCCTCGTCAGCTGTTGTTATGATTGGAATTAGAGAATCATTTGCCCCCTTTTCTACATCCACTCTTTGATTCTGTGCCACTTTTTTCAGAACAGCCACTTTTCTGACTTCATGGACAAACAAACGGGGTACGTCACCAGGAACCTGCTGGCAACCCCAGTCGTCATGGGCAAGGAAGTTCTTGCTGTGGTTATGGCAGTGAACAAAGTAAATGCACCTGAGTTTTCCAAACAGGACGAAGAGGTAACGCTGACCTTGGCATCCCATCACAGGCTCGGGAAATTTGTTCTACAGCCAAGGGAAAGGTGTAATGTTCTCTTCTCTGCCATCTGTAGGTCTTTTCCAAGTACATCAACCTTGTTTCTGTCATCCTAAAGCTTCATCATACCAACTACCTGTACAGCATTGAATCCAGGAGAAGCCAGGTAAAGGAAGGGGACGTCGTTCTGTGCTGACCCGTCCTGACAGATGACCTGGAGCCAGCAAATCCTAGACCTCTCCTACCCTGCAGGGGGTGTTTAAGCCACACAGAGCAGGTGCCAAACTTCAGTGCCAGGTGTCCTCTCATGGTATCTCGCTCTTCCCCCTCCCAGTCCTCCATCAGGGCACGCATCCTGGGTAGCCTTGGTTTCTTCATCTATGGGATGGACGAGGTTGACAGCACCTACTTCATAGGGTTGGCGTAACTCTTAAATGGCCATTAGCTCGTATGTAAAGCTCTTAGTTCTGGGTCAGAGTGAAGCTATTAATTTGAGGAGCAAATTATGCTTCTAAAGTCCGTGTCATTCCGTAAGGCAGAGGGACAGAGAACAACATTCACAGCCAGAATACCTGCGTCTGGACCACCGTGAACCTATTCGCTCTGCAGTACAAAAGTGGGAGAGGGTTGGGGTGGGGGGCTTCCTCCGACCCTTCCCATTCAATCTCAGGATATGTGAAGGAGTCGTGTAGCTTTCTCTCTGTGAGGTCTGGTGGGAACCAGTGGGCTGCTAACACTGGGCCTTCTGCCCACAGACTGCCTCTGCCTCCAATTTTAGGACAAACCCTTTGGGCTGCAAGCATTTAGACACGGAAACATGGCTTCTTCCCTTCCAAAGACCTACAGCTTTGCAAAGGTCTACTCATCATCCCATTTGAGCATCAGAGTGGCTGTAGGATGCATACATGTTCAAAAGCAGATCGTATTGTCTAGTGATATGTACAAGTAGGCATTTTATGTGCCTCACGTTTGCTTTTGGTCAATGCTTGCTTGCTGGCTCGCTCACTCTATTCTAATTGTTTTCATACTGGCTTTCAGATCCTCATGTGGTCAGCCAATAAAGTATTTGAAGAGCTCACAGATGTTGAACGGCAGTTTCACAAAGCACTCTACACAGTTAGGACGTACCTGAACTGTGAACGGTACTCCATCGGCCTGCTGGACATGACGAAGGAGAAGGTCTCGCTGTGCCGTATGTTTTGTCTCCCCTAAAACCCCTGTCAGATACACATCACCTGAGACGTGATTCAGTGAGAAACGCGTTACGTAAGTAAGCAGCCGTGCTAGGTCCCAGGAGCCAGGGCCAAGGAAGTGTAGAACGGAGGTAAAGGTGTATCGGTGGGCTTGCACCTTAGCTTTTCTACTTCCTGCCTGGCTGTGTCTTCATCAAGTTTTTTTTTTTTTTTCCAGTTTTTAGAGTAGTTTTAGGCTTACAGAAAAACTGAGCACTTATGTACAGAGTTCCCCCACACGCCCTCTTCCCTCCCACCCCAACTGCCACCAGTGTACCCTGTTGCTAGCTTCGTGTGTTGATGTGGTCAGAGTGGCTGAACCAATATGGATGCATTCTTATGAACTACAGCCCCCGGTGCACATTCCTTTGTGTTGTGAAGTTCTGGGTTTTGACAAATGCGTGATGTCCTAGAGCTGCCGTTACCTCTGACCAGTGGAAGGCACATGAAGGAGATCCATGACTTTGTCCCTGAGGGCCAATGGGAGCCAGCGGGTCCCCAATGCCAGTCTATGCAGGATAGTTGCAGTGCCCTAAAAGTCCTGTGCTCAGCTCTGCAGCACCCCCGCCCAGCTCTAAACTCCTGGTGACCACTGACTGTTTTACTGCCTCTACTTTGGCCTTTTCCCAGATAGTGTTGGGATCATTTAGCGTGTAGCCTTTTCAGACTGGTTTCTTTGACTTAGCAGTATGCACTGAAGTTTCTTCCAGATCTATTGATAGCTTGATAACTAAATAAACATGTTTTAAAAATGAGCTAACTTAAATTTTTAATTGACAAACATATATGGGGTATAATGTGATACTGATACAGATGCACTGTGCAATGATTTAATCAAGATAATTAACGTATCTAGTATCCTGCATATTTTTTGGTAGTGAAAACATTTAGTCTATTCTTTTAGCAAATTTGGAATGTATAACACATGCTTATTAGCAATGATCACCTTATGCAATAAATGTTGAAATCTATTCCTTTTGTCTACTTGGAACTTTGGGCTCTGTGGACAACTTCTCCGTCTCCCACCCCTCCCTCTAGTAACCATTGTTTTATTCCCTACTACTATAAATTTGACTTTTCAAAGATTCCACATAAAAGTGAAGTCCCACAGTTTTTGTCTTCATGTTCCTGGCATATTTCACTTGGCATAATATCCTCTAGTTTCATTCATTTTGTAGCAAATGACAGGATTCGCTCCTTTAAGCCTGGATAATATTCCATTGTATATATAGTCCGTATTTTTTTATTCATTCATCCATCAAAAGACACAGGTTTATTTCATGTCTTGACTGGAATTTATTTTAAATTGCTGAATAATACTTCATTGTAATGGCAGTTTGTTTATCCGTTCATTTATTGAAGGAGTTGAGGTAACTCCTAATTTCTGGCAATGTGGAATAAAACTGCTGTAAACATGTATAGGTTTGTGTGTGTATATAAATCTTCCACTCATTGGGTAAATACCAAAGAGTAACTGCTGCATCATGTAAGGCTATATTGATCTTTGTGAGAAACCGGCCAACTGTCACCAGATAGGACCATCATTTTGCTTGTCACTGGGAATACATGAGAGTTCTTGCTGCTCCAGCATCCTCACCGGTAGTTAGTGACGTCAGTATTTTGAGTTTTAGCCACTCTAGGAGTTGCAGTCATATCTTGTTGTTTTGATTTACAATTCCCTAAAGAACTCTTTTCATATGCTTGCTATTTGTATGTTTTTCTTCGGCTGTTCATCTGTCTGGATCATTTGCCCATTTTGTAATTGGGTTGTCTTTTTACTTAGTTTTAAGAGGTCCATGTATATTTTACTTATAAGTCTTTAATTGAATGTTTGTTTTACAAATATTTGCTCCCAGTTGTCTATGGCTTGTCTCTTTCATTAGCTTAACAGTGTCTTCTGTAGAGCAGAATTTTAAAATTTTAATAAAGTCCAATTTGTCTTAATTTTGGATTGTGCTCTTGGTATAGTATCAAAGAAGTCTTGACAAACCCAAGTTCACCTGGGTTTTCTACTATGCCATCTTCTAGACTTTTTATTTTATTTTATTTTATTTTGGTTTGGTTGGTTTGTTTTATTTAATGGTCCATGATCCATTTTGAGTTGTTTTTATGAGGGGTATAAGGTCTCTGTGTAGATTGATATTTCTTTGTGTGTGGATGTCCAACTGTTCCAACATAAGTTGTTGGTAAGACTAATCTTTATCCATTGTCTTGTCCCATTACCAAGGATCAGTTGATTATATTTGTGCAGGTCCTTTTCTGGATTCTATATTCTGTTCCATCGACTTTTTTGTCTCTTCTTTCACCAACGCCACACGATCTTGATTTTGTAGTTTTAGTCTTATGTCTTGAAGTTGGGTAGTGTATGTTCTCTCTCTTTTTTTCTTTTATCTGATGTAATTCTTGGTTTCCTTGTCTGAAAAATGAGGACATGTTTTTTATCAGTTGTGAAAATTAGAGGTTATATATGTCTATGTGCATAATGTTATCAGTGCCAATTTAATATTTTGTATTCTAATATTTTAGAGATCATTTTAAAGTAGAAATTATTAAATATTTAATATTCACAATAATGTGCTTGTCTCTCATCTTGCTATTTCTGTTGGACTTACCCCTTATTATGCTACATCATTTATATTCCTTATGATACATGAGACTGCTAGTTATTCTTCCTCAGTGGATGAACACAGGACTGGATATCAGTAGGACTGGGTTCTGATCCTGGCTGTGAGCCTTCCTGGCTGAGAAAGTTGACTGGGGTGCTTTTGGCTGCAAGAAATATCTGATCAGCTAACATCTTTAGCGAACTGACAGTGACTACTTCATTTAACAAGAAGTTCTAGGATTGGCTAATTCAGAGTTCAGTGGACTCATCAACATCCCAGGAGCTTTCCATTTTCCTGGCCAGGGCTTGGGCACCTGCTGTACTGGTGATGCTTCCTCTCATGGAGGGTAAGATGGTTGGTGTAGCTCAAAGTGTGACACATAGAAACATGAGAGAACCCGGAGGCATTTCCTCGAAATGTCACCCTCATCTGAGGAACATTTTTCGCTAGCAGCCCCTCGGCTGATTTCTCTCCCTTGTCTAGAACTGGGCCATGTACCTGCCTTCAAACCAATCTAGGCACCTTATACAGATAAGTCATGCAGGGCCAACTTCCCTATACAAATTCTCAACTATATGCAAATCAAGTTCTACTAGCAAGAAGAATAAGGAACAGATATTGGGATATGGCAACCAATACTGTTGACCATCTGATGTGACCTTGGCCCAGCCTCTTAACCTATCTGGATTTAGTTGAATTATCTATAAAATAGCTACTGCACATTGAGTACTTTGAACTAAATGCCAGAGCAGGTGATTGATGTTTATTATTCATTTAATCCTTACCATGATGCTTTAGCATAAATTCTACACCAATTTTAAAAATTATTTATTTGAAAGAGTTACACAGAGAGAGGAGAGGCTAAGAGAGAGAGATCTTCCATTTGATGGCTCACTCCCGAATTGGCCACAATGGCCAGAGCTGCGCCAATCCAAAGCCAGGAGCTGGGAGTTTCTTCCAGGTCTCTCATGCAGGTGCTGGGGCCCAAGGACTTGGGCATCTTCTGCTTTCCCAGGCCACAGCAGAGAGCTGGATTGGAAGTGGAGCAGCCGGGTCTTGAACCGGCACCCATATGGGATGCTGGTGCTTCAGGCTATGGCGTTAACCTGCTGCGCCACAGCGCCAGCCTCGAGAGATCTTTCATCTGCTGGTTCATTCCCCAAATGGCTGCAACAGCTGGAGCTGGGCCAATCCGGAGCCAGGAGCTTCTACTGGGTCTCCCTTGAGGGTGCAGGGGCCCAAGGACTTGGGCCATCTTCTACTGCTTTCCCACGCAATAGCAGAAAGCTGGGTGGGAAGTGGAGCAACTGGGACTCAAACTAGCACCCATATGGGATGCTGGCACTGTAGACGGTAGCTTTTCCTGCTACACAATAGCACCAGCACCTATTATTCCCATTTTGAAAAAAGATTTTATTTATTTGAAAAGCAGAGTTTGCAGAGAGAGAAAGATCTTCCATTTGCTGGTTCACTCCCCAGTAACTGGAATGGCAAGGGCTGGCCCAGTCAAAGCCGGGGCCTGGAACTCCATCCTGGTCTCCGATGTGGGTGCAGGTACTCAAGTACTATGACCATCCTTCACTGCTTTCCCAGGCACATTAACAGGCAGCTGGATCAGAAGTGGAGCAGCCAGGATTTGAACTGGCACCCATATGGGATGCCAGTGTCACAGGCAGCAGCTTAACCGGCCATGCTACAACATCAGCCCCTATTTATCCCACTTTACAAGTAAGAAAGGACTAGGCTACCTGTTTAGTATCACAAATTCCTGAGCTAGGGATTATATGAGGGTACTTCCAAAATTCAAGGAAAGTAGAATTAAAATGTTTATCTGGTTATAAGTTTTTTTTTTGAAATACATGCATAATTTTTTCAGAACATGCATCTTCCATGAACTTTTTATTTTTTTTTTTATTTATTTTTTTGGACAGGCAGAGTGGACAGTGAGAGAGACAGAGAGAAAAGTCTTCCTTTGCCATTGGTTCACCCTCCAATGGCCACTGCGGCCGGCGCGCTGTGGCCGGCGCACCGTGCTGATCTGATGGCAGGAGCCAGGTGCTTCTCCTGGTCTCCCATGGGGTGCAGGGCCTAAGTACTTGGGCCATCCTCCACTGCACTCCCGGGCCACAGCAGAGAGCTGGCCTGGAAGAGGGGCAACCGGGACAGAATCCGGCACCCCGACCGGGACTAGAACCCGGTGTGCCGATGCCACAAGGCGGAGGATTAGCCTAGTGAGCCGCAGCGCCGGCCTCCATGAACTTTTTAAAGTAGGTCTTCTCAGCTCTAGAATTCCAGAACTATGTAGACAAACATAAAGTATACACACACACAGTTCATGTAATACGCTGTAGGTCACGTGAGTTTGTGAATTAATGTTTAACTCTAATTGCCTCCAGGAATTCTATGATGAATGGCCCATCAAGCTTGGTGAAGTTGAACCCTATAAGGGACCGAAGACACCAGATGGCCGGGTGAGTGCAAACACCTTCCTTGATGCTCTCTGCCCGGCAGCAGCTGCTGAAACTAAGAGGCTACAGCGCACAGAGAAAAGAGCACTGGCCTGGGAGGGCGGGGGTTCTAGTCCTGTGCTTTCTCTACATGACCCTGTGGTAGAAAGGGCCCTGGACAAAGAGGTTGGGAGTCAGGTCCCAGCTCTGCCCCAGGCAGCTCCGCGGCCCTTGCCCGTACTCATGGTTTAGCCTCTTGAGCTCCTCTGCTGTGAAGGCCGGGCTTGGTAGCTCCACAGTGGTTCTCAACAAGGAGAAACGTGTAGGGCCACCTGCGTAGCCCTGTGCAGGGGTGCTGGATGGACTGGGTTCTCCGAGAGCAGCATGGTTAGATTTACTTGCTCCAGGGCAGGACACGAGTCTGTTCAATTCCCCACTGGGTCCTCAGCACTCAACGACGCAAGTTGATGGGCTGCAGCACGTCCATGCCTTGGGCTCCTCAACTGTCCGTGAAGCAGAAACACTGACATCAAATCCCGTCCAGGATTGAAAACGGACCCAGAAAGCCTGTTCAGATAAGCCAGTGCTGGAAGGGCTTACGTGCTCACGGTACAGGATGTGCCTTCACTGTAGTTGAGAAGTTACATGACTTGGTCTAGTGAAGTATCTAGATATTACTCAGATACATACATGTGTTTATTTATATAATATATAATATATATATATTAAGATTTATTTGTGTATTTGAAAGGTGGAGTGATAGAGAAAGATATCTTCCATCCACTCCCCCAGATGCCCACAACAGCTGGGCAAGGTCAAAGCCAGGAGCCAGGAATTCTATCTGGGTCCCCAGTATTTGGGCCTTCACCCGCTGCCTTCCAGGCATGAGAGGAAGCTTGATCGGAAGCATGGAGTAGCCAGGACTCACAAGCACTTTGATGTAGGGTGCAGGCTTGCTAGACAGCAGCTTATGCACCTGTGTCACGGTGCCTGCCCCACAGCGCCCATTTCTACAGAATAAAAAGTGATCAGTTAAGTCCAAAACAGGCTGGTTTAGGGACTGAGAGCCGAAGGGGGCCCCAGAAGCTGTTTGGCTGCACTCAACTTTTTAAAAACTGAATTTATTTCAGCCTTTGTGTATATGTGCGAACAGTCAGTAGCTTTTCTGGTTTATTACAATTTGGTAATCAGGATAGGAGTAGTCTGTTAATTGATATAGAATGTGACTAGGAAACGGGACTATTTGTAAGAGTTTTGCATTGAAAAACTGTGTCCTTTGAGAAATAATGTGCTAAAAATCTCTTCCTCCTTTCTTAGGAAATCATCTTTTATAAAATCATCGATTACATTTTACATGGCAAGGAAGAGATCAAAGTGATTCCGTGAGTGTTGCCGTGGTGAGCCCCAGGAGTCGCAGGGTTTCTGGGCGCACAGTGGGTTTCTCTGCAGAGCAATGATCTTCTCTTTCCTAATCTTCCCCAAGAACACCTCCTACGGACCACTGGACTCTGGTTAGCGGGTTGCCAACATACGTTGCTGAAAACGGATTTGTAAGTTGTTGAACAAATGCAAATTCTAAATGATAATGCATTAAACTCTTACCAGCTAAGGCAAAGATGCAATTGTGACTGTAAGAGTGACCCGATAAAGGTGAGATGACCATGTCTGTCAGTGCAGGAAGTGGAGAGGAGAACCTTGGCAGTCACACGTAGGTTGGAGCGGCCAAAGCTAGGGACTGGGACCGCAATCCAGGTCTCGCGTGTGGCAGGAAGGAACGCAATGACTTCAGCATCAGCACCGCTTGCCAGGGTCTGCATTAGCGGAGGCAGGGAGCTGGAGTCAGCAGCTTGAGCGGGGAACCGAACTCCAGCACCCTGATGTGCCGTGTGGCATCCTGACAGGCCTCTTACCCTTGAGCAAAATGCCTACCCAGGCCCTGACTTCTTACTCTGCAGACATGGACATTTCAGACATCTCTGGAGTCAGTGCCTGGGATCCATGCTGGCTTTAATTCTATCTCAAGTACAGTGGTCAGTTCTTTGAAGCATGAGCTTGAGGGGGGAGGATAGAAAGAGAGCCTTTGAAATATTGATTAAAAGTGTGGCGCTTTGACCCATCCTCTGTAAAGGCTGTCCTGAGGCCTTAAAGGATGGACTGACAGGTATCACTGACAGGTCAGAAAAGAGGAATGAGCTTTTTCCCTTTCTAAGACACGGAGGATGTCTAGCTCTTTGAATAACTTAAAAATCCAGTTCAAGTCAGATCTTGGAATTAATGGATGGCACAGAAGATCGCTGAAATCCTTAGGGCATATGTGCTTCTGAAAACTTTGGAGTGGGAGTGTTGAGCCGCTGGACAGCCACTGAAGGTGCTGCATCCCACACTGGAGAGCCTGGGGTTAATTCCGGCCTCTGGCTCCTGACTCCAGCTTCCTGCTGGTGCAGACACAGGGAGGCAGCAATGATGGCTCAGGTACGTGGGCGCCTGCCACCCACGTGGGAGACCCGGATTGAGTTCTGGGCTCCTGGCTTCAGTTCAGTTCAGTTCTGGCTTTTGTGGGCATTTGAGGATTGAATGAGTGGAGGGGACCTCTCTGTCTCTCTCCCTGTCCCTCCCTGCCTTTCTCTCTTTGTCTTTCAAAGAAATAAAGGAGCTGGAAGATTTTCACCTTTCTTTGTACAGAAATAGTTGCTGTGCTTCAGCCACCGTTAGACAGCACTTACGTAGGGAGCAAGGGGCTGGCGGGGTCTGGGGTGGTGACTGGGGCGCCCACTCGCCTATTCATAAGGCTTCTAGATTTTTACAAATTTGGGGAAGCACATTGCTAAACTGTTGGCTACCTGAACCCCCCACCCCGGGGGGGAGTTATTACACTGTGCAAAGCGGCAACTGATACAAACCAGAGCCCCCCCAACCCCTGGCCAGGAGCATCCACTCCAGACATCACAATTCTAGTTTCTTCCCACAAATTTAAACAGGTCATTTAATCTTACTGGGTTTCTCTTTGCTGAAGTTTAAAAGGAAAAATTTAATTTAATGGCTAATGTCCCAGATCTTATGATTTAAAAAAAAAAAAAAAGATTTATTTATTTCAAAGAGTTAGAGAAAGAGATCTGCTGGTTCACTCTCCAAATGGCCACAACAGCCAGGGCTGGGCTAGACTGAAGCCAGGAGCTTAGAACTCTCGCTGGGTCTTCCATGTGGGTGCAGGGGCCCAAACCTTGGTTCATCTTCTGCTGCTTTCCCAGATGCTTTAGCATGGAGCTGGATCAGAACGGGAGCAGCCAGGACTCGAATCGGTGCACCTATGGGATGCCAGTGTCACAGGCAGGGGCATAACTCACTGTGGTATGCAACAGGCTCACTTAGATTTTATGCTGGTGGGGAGAAATGTAGTCTTTTATTAAAACCATTGCAGATATGACTCAAGATGGAATTCAGAATGACCCAAAAATGTAGCGATTCCTTGTCCTTACAGATGTGAGCAGTAGTCTGTGAAGTCCACTAATGCAGGTGACATGGTGTGATGAGTCCTCACTTGTGAGTTACTAGGACTGCCTGGCCTTTTCCTCCTGCCTCTTCTTCTAATCTGGATCCTGCTTGAGAAAAAAGGGGGGCCCCAGCATCACTGCCACACCTGTCCCAGCAGACGGCCTTTCTGCTCAGCTCCCTGCCCTGCTTGGCCCACACAGTTCAGCTGGTTGCTTTGATTGGAAGGGGAGCCTTGGAAATGGGGCGAGCGGGAAGCAGCAGAGACTGGGCTCCGTCCAGCCAGGGACTTAGCCACGGAGAAGCTACCTTCCATGAGTTACTGGCAGGTTGGACCCAGCCCGAGGTCCAGTGTCCATGATCTACCTGCGAGCAGCTGAGAGCTGTGTCCACAGCCCTCGGTTCTATGCACTCTTCGTCTCCTTCGGGGCTTAAGTGCCGCCCCCACGCGCTGTTACAGATGGATGCTTTCTCTCCCTTTACAGATCTGCAACATGCTCAATGCCCCTGCCGACGAGTACTTCACCTTCCAGGTAACTGCCAGCGGGCCTCGGCTCTCAGGGCTGGGTGTGTGTGAGTGTGAGTGTGCGTGCACGCACATTCACTCGCTCTCTCCTCCCCTCCTCCATCCCCAGAGGCTGCGTTATGCTTAGGTGTGTCCAGGAGGCACACACAGGACCCATGTCCACTCACCCTGGCTGAGCCATGGGCCAAGCAGAAGAGGCTGGGGAGGAAAAGAGGAAGAGAGGAGACCAGGGGCCCTCACCCAGGCACATCACTGGTGCTCAGTCAATGCTTTTTGCCTGCATCACTGACTGGACCCTGACTCCAGTGCTCTTGGCGGGTTCCCACTGGTCCTTCGGCCTTGCAGCTCTCTTAGCCACAGAACCCCCGTGGTCCCTGTCCTGCTGCTATACTGTTTCTTCTCTGTCCCCGGCATGCAGAGACCCCCTTCCTGGAGCACCCGCTTACGCTCACCAAAAGGTGAGCCCCCGAACCAGCCCCGCGGTGGGCTGACTGCTCCCTTCCAGCTCGGCTGCTGTGGCTGGAATGTGTCCCCTCAATGTTCACCTGTTAGGAACTTAACCTTCATGTTCACAGGTGCATGGGGTGTGAAGGTGGAGACCTTGGGAGGGAGTCAGGGTCAGATGCAGTCCTAAGGGTGGGTCTTCCTGAAAGTGTTAGTGGCTGTCTAAGAAGGGAAGGAGAGAGGAGCTGGCACGCTCTTAGCCTCTCTGTCGCTCCCCCTCTTCGTGGAGGAACGACACTAAACCCTGCCTAGGCTTCATATCCGAGTCACGGCACCATTATGTCGCTCCCCGTCTTCGTGGAGGAACGACACAGGACCCTGCGCTGTTCTTTCGTTTGCTCGGCCCTTCCCGGGTTTGCTGCTGGTTCTTCCCGGGTTGGCTACTGTCCCTTCCACCTCCGTGGAAGGGCGGTTCCCCCTGCCACATTCCCCACTTCCGCGGGGGAGCGGCACACCGCCGGCCGGCCCTCTCGGGGGCTGCACAGGTGTTCCTTCAGACAGATGTTCCCCTTAGATGTTCCTGGTGCATGTTGTCTTTCTCCTCCTTTATAGTCCTCTTCCACCAATCCCAACTCTGCTACCCACACGCCGAGTACGCTGCTCTCCTCCAATCAGGAGTAGGTCCTACAGTTTATTGGTTGAACTGGAGGCAGCTGCGTAGAAGCTGTTTCTCCCTTCTCAGCGCCATATTGTGGGAGAGCAGATGCATAGAATAAGTCTTAATTCCAGTAACTTAGTCTAGTCCGAGTTGCTCCCCACACTCTCTCCATGGGATGCCTTCCACCCCGTTCTGTGGCACAAGAGCCTGCATCACCCACCAGCACCTTTATGTTGGACTTCGCAGCCTCCAGAATTGTCAGGAACACATTTCTCTTCTGTTTTCAATTACCCAGGCTGTAGGATTCCATTACAGCAGCAGAAAAACGGACTAAGACAAGGGCTTTTTTCCGGGACATGGCTGTGGGACTTGACTTCTCATCCAAGTTCATCTAGTTCATCAGGAGTCAGTGTATCTTCTGTCGCTCCCTCCCCACCTGTCACCTCCCCACCTGCCACCTCCCAGCCTCCTGTCACTCCAGCCCACCCCTCAAAGGGCATCGAAGGACAAAAGATCAGCCGGCATTTGTCTCCGCAGCCTCTTCTGGCCTCTGGCACTTCTCATGCTGTGTCCTGCATTTAACAACCATCCAATTAGAGCCCTAATCCCCACCAGAAATAGAGCGTGCCCTCCCTGGTAGTTACTGCTCTTATCTGGCTTTCTGTCTGAGGAGGACACACAGAGACACACACACATGCACCCCACACATGTCCACCCCCACCCCACACACACATACACCCACTCACACACCCCACCCCCTCACACACAGCCCTATCTGTGCTTCCACGGGAAAGCCAGCCTCCCTGGAGTGTGAATGGTTCCTCCCCAGCTGCAGACCCAAGCCAGGCCTCGGAGAACCTGTCCACGCTTGCTTGGTTACCTGGGCAGTTTCCCTGGGATCTGCCTGCCCAGCCCTTTGCCTACTGACATGGAAACACGCAAACACCATATGGCTGCATTTGCTCTAGCTGCTTCCTCCTTGCAACCAGAGCCTACTGGTGACCACGCTGTGCTCGGCGCGATCCCGGTATTTATGGCAACTGAATGCCAGGAAAGAATGCATGAAAGGAAACGGAGGACGATGGTTGTCAAACAGGGGTGGGGCTGGAGCCAGCCCAGGAGAGACAGGGCTGCTCCCTAAGGTTTGGGGGTCTGTCCTTCCTCTTGTACAGGAAGCCACACCATTGCCAGTGATAGCCCTGGCAGAGAGGAGGCTGAGGACCTCCCTGGGGCCTTGGGGGTCCCATGGTGGGATAAACCTTCAGTCCATGGGGATGTCCCAGGTCTCCAGAAAACATCAGTGGGTGCCCCCGAATGTGAGCTCTTCGGCTCTCGAGCTGTGAATGTGCAAATCCAATGGGCTCTGTGCTCCAACACCCACTGTCCAACGTGCACCAAGGCCCTGCTCTCCACGGCACTCCAGGGCAGACTGAGCATGAGCAGTAGTAGGAAAGCAGCCCATCTCTGCTGATGATCGGACTCCACTGACAGGTGACTGGCCCTAGAAGCCCCGACAGCCTTGCAAACTGCTTTGCCATCTTTGCTGGGATCTTAGGTGCTGAATTCCAATCTTCTGCCCCTACCTTTCTCCGTAGCCCTGCATCCCGGCTGCATCTCTGTCTGCCAGCTCTCTGGCCCCCTCCCTGCCTCTGCCCCCTTTCCTGCAGGCATTGCCCAGGCAGAGGGCAGACTTGGTGCGGGGCGGCTGCCCTTCCCAGACTCCACCCTCTTGTTGTCATGCGGCATCCCGGTTCTCCACTGCGCACCTGAGCAGTGCGATGGAAAAGCCGGTGCTCTGCCAGGCGCCGCTAGCAGAGGCACTGACTCTCACACGATGCCCCTTGCGGGCACGTGCAATAGTGTTCTCTTGCTGCTGTCACCAGTGACTGCCCAGTGGCTTAAAACCACACACATGCGTTCTCTTACGGTTCCGGAAGTCAGAATCTCACCAGTCGTCTTGGTCCGAGATCAAGGTCTGGCAGGACTGTGGGGATTTGTGGAGACCCCCTGCCTTTTCTCGGCTCCTCCAGGCTGCCTGGAGACCTCTTCGTCTGCAGAGCCGGCTACTGCATCCCTCCGGGCTCGCTGCTGCCACCCCAGCTCCTTTTTGGATTCTGACTTTACCTTCTGTGTTACTTTCAAGGAGCCTGGGACTTACGCTGGGTCCACCTGGGAAATCCAGGTTCCTCTCTCTCCCTTCAGGTCAGCTGATGAGTGACCTCCCTTAATTCCATGTGCCACATTGATTCCGCTGTGCCGTGGGCGATAACATTCACAGGTGCCAGGGAGTGGGATAGAGAGCTCTCGGCGGAGTGGGGGCACTGCTCTGCCTGCCACAGTGTTCCTTGAAGTGAGCTCGAGGGTTCCTTCTTTAACACCAGGCAAGGAGATCTGAATTCGCAGGGGAAAAAAAATCCACAGAATTTTCGGATTTAAATTTTTGTCCTATTAGTTTTTCTTACACCACCTTCCTGTCAACAAACTCAACTAATGGCAGAACACTTCAGTATAAACAGGGAGCAAATGAGTATTTATGGAAAAATCGAGGGGTAGTACAATTTATTTTGGAAACTTTAAATAAGATACATGGGTGCTTTTGGTTGTAAAGTTATTTGGCACATGTGATATATTTCCTGTTCATGACTTTGCCCCAGGTCCATATAATTACATAAAGATTTCTCAGTGTTTTCCAAGGATGCAATGTTTGAGAACACTGTGTGATGCATTTTGTTTTCTAAAGATTTGACCATCAGGGCACATAAACGGAGGTTTGTTTTCTCTGCTTTTCATTCCAAGTATAAACACCATTAATGGATAATAAACAAGTTACTTGTTTATGTAATAATTACTGAGAGCCTATTACATGCTCAGCACTGTTGTATCACTCGGGTGAAATTTAATGATTTATGAAATAGTCTTTATCCCTTGGTAAGTTTAGAAAATAATCCCACAAACCAGAATCAATTGTGAAGCATTAACAAAAGGAATGCTAAGCTGTGTGGTCTGGGCTGTAAGTGCTGTTGAAATCTGAAAAGGCGAAGTGCGTTAGGGCTTACAGAAGTTAGGGCTTCCTGGGCGAGGCAAGCCTTCCCACGGCCACTGAGGATGACTGAGCAAGCGGGGGAAGCTTGGAGAACAAGGAGTGTGGTGAGGGAAGTCCTTGGCTACTATGGCACACAGGCCATTCCACAGTTTTCCTGTTCAGGGGACACCAGAATTACCTGGAGACTTATTTGAAATGTGTGCCCAGAGACTATGAAGCAAGCTAGAAAGAATCTGTTCCGTGGGGTCTTTGGGCTGCGCTTTGAGAAATGCTCCTAAACTCTTGCGTCTGCACCCATCCCCAGCCTGTAAGCATCTGAAGGGTACAGTCTGTGACTCATTCGTCTTTGTACCCTCAACAACTAGCCCCATTCCTGACCCATCAAAGAGTCTTGAAAGATGTTTTCCAAACTCAACATACCAAAGGGCAAAAGACCCTCTTGGTGGATCAGCGAGGATGTCAGAAAGCACACTAGGCGTATCAGCAGAATTGAGTCTAAAGACTTAGCTGATCCAGTGTTGATAAACAGAAAAAGTGAAAAGAGAACAGCGAGGTAATGCAATGATCAGATGCATTTCCCTTACCTAGGACTGGGGAACCAAGGGAAAAATCCAGTGTCTTTGTAGTACAGACCCTTGGTTCTAGGACATCTGGTTGGATGTATACAAGTACTTACAACACTGTTATGTGTTACATAACCTAGTTATGTTCTGACACAACGTGGGAATTGCCCATATAAAACCCAGAGGTTATTCTTTAATAATAGACTGAGTGGTGGGTGGTGGGGTGACGGCTGTAAAGAGTGGGTGGGAGGGAGCCTTGTCGTGATGGAGTGGTTGAAAATCTGCAAACTGGCATGGGAACCCCCCCTCCACGTGTGTATAAATAAGTGCATGTGAGTTTGGTGAAACCCAGATCTGCTCTGTGGGTTGTTCAACGTGTACTTCCTTGCTGGCATATTGTATTGTAGTTACACAAGGTGTTGCCACTGGGGACAAGTGGGTCATGGGTGTATGGGACTTCTGTGGACATTTCTTTTATGACATCCTATGAATCTATAAGAGTCTCAAGAAGTTTTCAAAAATAACTTCTGTTCCCTTATTGTTCCTAGAAAGGACCCGTGGATGAGACGGGTTGGGTCATTAAAAACGTCTTGTCCCTGCCCATTGTCAACAAGAAGGAAGACATCGTGGGAGTGGCAACATTTTACAACAGGAAGGATGGAAAACCTTTTGATGAGCATGATGAACACATTACGGAGGTAAGTGCAGCAACCCAACGACAGAGGCAGGTGAAATTCGTGACATAACAGAGGATGCGTAATTGTTTATTCTAGAACTGCATCTGAAGGCAGTTAGGACATGACTTGCAATCAGTTTACTGTGTCATTTCTTCTATTTCCTGATTTCTGTAAACAGCAACATTTTCTACAAAAATCTACGATTGTGGCTGAATCCAAATTCTTTATAATACAAGGAAAACAGGAAAGAGGGTCTCTCTCTCTCTCTCTCTGCCTCTATTCCCTCTCGTTCTTGTCCCCAGTTCTTTGTCTAATTTTTAGGTCCTGCCTTATTCCACTGGTGTTTGTAATTCCTCTCCACGAACAACGTATTTGGGGTGCATCATACACTTGGCAATGCAAGGGCTTAGCCAGTTTTTATTGTTCGGGGTTGATGAATAGTATGTTTTTTTTCTTTGATTAAAAGACAGTGGAGGGGAGATGGGTTGATAGGAAAGCACGCGGTGTTGCCTCTGCGTCAGCTTTCCTTGAACCTGAGAGAAGCTGAATGAGCCTTTCTACTTTCTAGACTCTCACGCAATTTCTTGGATGGTCTCTCTTAAATACTGACACCTATGAGAAAATGAATAAGCTAGAAAACAGAAAGGACATCGCCCAGGAAATGCTCATGAACCACACCAAGGCCACTCTGGAGGAAATTGAGTCTATTTTGGTAAGTAGAGAATTCAGTCTTGTGCTATCAAACCACAGCTGCTGGAGGTTGCCTAGTCACCCAGGGTTCTGACAAACGACGTTGGGGAGTAAGGAAGGAGGGGTTGCATGAGGACCCTGGGGGCCCACATGCTCTTACTGGATGCCCAGGCCGCTTGGTTGGAATAGCAGTTTGTTAGAAACAGCACCGGAGTCTGCAGAGGCTGACGTAGTGACATCTCAACTCAAGTAAACATAGGTTTCCAGGAAAGGAGATGGATCATCAGCTGTTGTCATGTAATGTCATGTAACAACAGTCCTATGTCTCAGTGGCATGCAGGCATGAGGATCTCCTCTCGCTCATGCATTTGTGGGTTGGCCAGGTTCCGACTTGGTTCCAAGCTGTGAGTTTGGCGCACTCCATGTGTCTCTCATCTTTCTTGAACAAGCAGCCACCTGATAGTTGTTCTTGCTACAGTGATGAAAGAAATGCGGGAGAGCAAGCCCCACCTCAAGTCTTTGCCCTGCTGCGTGCATTAACAGTCTCATTGGCCGCAGAAAGATCACACAGGCAGCACCAGTATCGTGGATGATGGGAGAGCCAGTGGATTTTTGCAAACAGTGTTCTAACCAGCATAAAGTAGGAAAATACTATGCACCCAGTGTGTCTGTTCCTTTTTATTCTCCTGGCTTTTAAGTGTAGCACTGTGGGGATGCTTTTCTGTTTTGGATTTAAAAAATTTTTTTGTTTTGGATTTTGTTGGGAGGTTTGAGAGCTAAGAGGCATTTGATTTGAAAGTTTGAGGTATATGGGACTGGTGTTGTGGTGTAACACAGGTTAAATCGCTGCCTGTGTATCCTCTCTGGGCACCAGTTCGAGTCCTGATTAGTCCACTTCCAATCCAGCTCCTTGATAATGGCCTGGGAAAAGCAGTGGAAGAGGACCCAAGTGCTTGAGCCCCTGCACTCAGGTGGTAGACCCGGATAAAGCTCCTGGGTTTGCCCTTGTTCAACCCTGGCTATTATGGCCATTGGGGGTGTGAAGTAGCAGGTGGAAGATTCTCTTTCTCCCTCCCTCTCCCCCCACCCCTTCTTCCTTCCTTCCTTCTCTCTTGGTAACTCTGCCTTTCAAATAATTTTTTAAAAAGGAAGTTTTGAGGTATTAAAAATGAGAAGGTGTGGGGGGAATAAGAGGAAAGCGCTATGAACTATTGAAAACCAGATGGAGGCCACTCATTTTTCCCTTTCTTTGTTGCCTACACACAAACAACCCACACACTCCTCCTTTTTCTTCCTCATCCTCTTTTTCAAAGGCAGCTACTGTTATCTTTTGGGAGGATGGGGAAATCAACTGTATTAGATTATTCCTTAGGTCAGGCTTTTCACAACTAGTTTCTAAAGGTCTCCTCCTATCCAGTGTGCATCGCTGTCATGGAATTTATTACAGCATATTTTAAATACACATATATCTTCACTGGTTTTAGTAGGAGAGAAATCAGGTAGACACCTCCTTGGCAGGAGTCTCATACCTCAATTGCTTGTCTGTTGCAGAAATTTAAAGAGAAGTTGAATAAAGATGCAATTGAAGACTGTGAGGAGAAACAACTTATCAAGATTTTGGTAAGTGTTTTTCTTCTCCCCTTAACGCCCTTTGGATAGAACATTTGTATGTTAGGACCTGCGTCCTCGTGTTTTAAAGAATGTTGTTTCCTCTTTGCTGATACTTTGCAAGGATGATAGGGAAGGAGGTTCCTTCTGAAGGGTGACCTCCAGGTTCCCTGCTTTCCTACATTATCTCCTCCAGTCCAGTGCACAGCTAAGCCCCTGCCTGTTGCGCAACAGGACTGCAGGCCCTGTTTATTTTCACAGCGTGCATTGCCCGGAGGGTGGGACAGGGTTATGGTGGACCCAGACTGTCCTGGGCGCAGCCATTTGCTGTTGGGCCGCTGGATTTCCGGCTGAAGTCAACTTCTTCTGTCTTGTTGTGTACAATCGACTGCTAAACCCAGTCACTAAATTCAGTGTCCGAGGTGGTCGTTCTCAGTTCTAGAATGTGCATTTGAGTCTTCAAGGTTCCAACCCTGTGTTGAAACTTTCTATCATGTGATCTAATTTGACTATCTTTTGCTTGATTTTTTAAAAAATTATCCGCCGTAATTTATGTACTCATCTCGATACCTGAGTTACCTCTAGGTCTGGTCTACTTTTACTCTTGGCTTTCAGTCATGGGATCCTATTTTAAAATATGCTTCATAATTTTAATTAAAAACCAGAAATTGTGGTAACACTAGTAGAGGCTTTGAGTGCTGTTAAGTGTCTGCAAAGAGGATTAGGTTTTCTTCTGGCAGATGAAGCGCTGGTTCGGGGTGTGGGCAGGGATGCTCTTAGTTCTGCCTGGGGCCCTTATTTGTAAGTGTAGAGTGTGACTCTTCCATGATCCCATAAACTCCCAGGATACTCACCGAGATTTAGACGCTTGAATTCTGTCTGAATGAAACTGAAATGTCACATTTAATTCCCTCCCTCACTGCCTTATCCCACTCTCCACTGCCCCTTTCCAAACTGTGACACACTGTTCTTGGCAAAACTAAGCTAGATTGGCCGGCTCGCCTGCCCCTTTATGGGCAGCCTTATACCACTGGCCGATGACTCCATGTTGACTGCTCAGTTGCTGCCGTCCATGTTTCTGGGTCAGCTGAGGCTCTCCTGCCCCCACTTTCCTTGGCTCGACCTCAGCACTAGGCCCTCATCCCAGGCCCTCACTCACCCTCAGTCCATCTTGTAAAACAGAACTAGTTGACATCCAGGACGCTAGACATCCTCTAGATCGCTGTTTAGAGGAGGAAGGGTCTCATGTTGGAGAAGCAGGATGAGGGCAAAGAATCAGTTGAGCTATGCCCCGCCCCCAACAACAATAGCAACAAAGTAGCCTGTGTTGAATGTAAAATCCACCCTGGGCTAATCCCAAGCCACTGATGCATAAAACCTGGGAACTTGAACAAGCCAACGTATAATTCAGAGTTGTTCTCCAAAATGACCTGTCATTTCTCAGCTACATAAGGATTTGTCCATTTCTGTTCATTCGGGTTCTTTCTCCGGGAGTGCACATTAATTTTGGGTTCAGGGAAGGTGCAGGCCTTGTAGGTGTGACAACAGTTTTGTGTGTCTGCTGGAAAGGGCACGGTAGCTGTGCTGTGGCTCCGGCAAAGTGGGGGGTGGGCACCTACCCCACCTTCCTCCTGCTCTCTAGGACATTCCCGGCCACTCACAGACGCACCGTGGCCAGCGTTCGCCCAGCTATAGAATATCTGGAGAGGATCTTCCAAGAGACGTGCTTCATTTGTGAAGCCTGTATCCGGTTGTTTCCACCCATACGGCGTTATGGAGATCGGCTGTAGCTCAAAGAATGGTGCCATGTGCTGAGGGTAAAAGTGCAGTGGGGTTCTTTTCTGGTGCAAGAAACTCTCTGAGTATTAGGGAGACTAAATACAAGCAATGCTTGTTCCCAAAGCATGAGCCCCCAGGGCCTGGGAAGGCCAAGGGCCTGAGCTGACCTACAGAGGCTGATGTCATCACAGCCGGGGTTGAGGGGAGAGCAGGGGTCGCCCAGACAGAAGTCGATGACGGGACCTTGTGATGGCTGGGAGAGGGAGTGGGAAGCAGGGTCGGAGCAGACCAAGACGGGGAGACGCGAGAGATGGAGAGGGGACAGACCCGTGGATCGATGATGGATCTTAGGAGACCAAAGCTGCTGGGAGGGAGTGTGGCTGCGGCGTCCAGTGAGCAGCAGGGCCAAGCTGCCGGGAGGCAGGACAAGGCCAGCCTGGCATGCTGGGGCTCGAAACGTCACCTGATCAGACACTCGTGCTCCCTGGGGGGCAGATGGAGCCTGCTGGGCTGGAGGCAGGAAGCCTGGAGTGGGGGCACTGCGGTGCCAGGCGAGGCGGCAGCAGCTTCCTCTGTGCCATTAGCCATCAGCTAAATCAGCCCTGGGAGGCCAGCGTTCCTACTTAGCAAGTCAGTAGGAACCTTTTACTGGTCTCAGTCTTGGTGCATCACAGACTTAAAAGCTTTGGCTCTGCGGAACCTGTGGTTTCTGTAGCAGAGGGTGATTGGATCAGCTCACCTGTGCTGCCCAGGGGGCCTGAGAGTCGTCCTCCTGGGAAAGTCTTACGTCGCTTCCTGCTGCGATGCACCTACGGTGCCTACACACGCACGGCATTCAAAACAGCTTCACAGCTCAGCCCCCAAAACACTAAGAATGGGGACAGAGCCCCTCCTGCGGGGAGACCAGCTGCAGGGGGCACTGTGCCCCGCAGGTCTCAGCCTCCTGAGATTTTAGAGATGCTGTGAGAGAGGCGGTGACCACGTCTGCTTCATCCAGTGCTTGGTCCAAATCCCCAGGGCGTGTTCACACACCAGAAATGTTTGGGAATGAATGAAGAATGAATGAATGAATGAAAAAGAGGGATCTACCTGGGCAGAGAATCTGGAGGTCAGGGGGAAGCTGAGGGCCTAGGCGGGCCCTGGGAGAAATGGAGGAAGGAGAGAAAGGGGGTTGTGAGGAGCTCCTACAGGCCACAGATTTTTTGACAAGGATAAGTAAAATTGGGATTCTTCTTAATTAAAATGAAAAAGACAATAATGTTATTGTCCCATTTCATGGATGAGAATACTGAGGCTTTTTCAGGTATAGATATGCCTCTACCCAGAACCCAACACCGAGGCATTGCTTTGCAGGAAAACCTAAAACCATCTCTGCCCAAAGTGAGCAGTTGGAGGGTGGCAGCAGTGACCAAGAGGAACAGGAGGGTGCTGGCTGCCCCACTGAGGGGAGGGCAAGAGTGTGAGGGGCTAGCCCAGACCCAGAGGTGGGAGGCCAGGAGCCAGCATTTTGCTTAAAAGGAGCGCACATCATTTGGTGTGAAATGTGTATGAGCAGAGTATGAATGGCTCCCCTGGGAAATGGTAGATTTATGGAAGGAAGGTAGTGACCCGCCTGTCCCTCCTCAGCACGGTCCAAGGTGAATACCCACGGGCTGAGGCACCTGCAGGACCATCTGGTGGACCACAGAGCCTGCGCTGATTCCCTGGTCCCGAGGCTGGCCCTCCCCTCACAGGACTGGCTTCCTTTCCCACCAGCTTGTGGGCTTGTTCTGCAGTCTCGCTTCCCTTCCCCCTGCCCGGGGTGTTCAGGGTCTCCCCAGCAGAAAGCACTCCGTGTCGTGCTGACCGATGGTTCCACACTCTCTTGGTCTGGGTTTTCAAACCGTTTCAGTAAATGAATTTCCTTAAGGGCAAGATGCTCATTTTCCTTCCCCAAGTCATGCCAACGCCCATGTGCCTGGTTCATGTTTTGTTTTCTTTTCTCACGTACTTAACTACTCATGAGATGTAGCTAAGTGAATTATCTGGGGACATTCTTTCATTCATTCGTTCAAGGAACATTTACGGCACAGCTTCCTGAAACAACACCACAGGTTCTACTTGGCAGCAAACAAGAGCTTTGAGAGCTGTGGAGCTCAGTCTAGTGGAAACCATTACTGAGTGTGGAAGGAAAAGAGAATTGAATTAAACAATTGCCTGGTATTTGCATACTTCTTGAAAAGGAAAAAAGGGGAGTAATGAAAATGCGTAAGGCTTCCCTAACTACGCATTGGATTTTGCACCATAGAAAGAAATCAGCTGCTAGAGTTGCGTGTGAAATGGGGTCCCATCACTTAGAAAGCTTTTAAATCTCGCTCGGCCTCGGCTGTGTGGATTGGGAGACCAGAGCTGCCTTGCACGTAATGGCTCAGTGGGCTGTGCGTGGTATTCTTTTCTTGTAATGTGGCTTTACACACAATGCTGGATATGCGGATTTAACCTGAAACAATCGTCCTTATTTCAACAGAAGGAGGACTTGCCGGACCCGAAGGAGGTGGAACTATACGAATTCCGGTTCAGCGACTTTCCCATCACGGAACACGGATTGATTAAGTGTGGAATACGGCTGTTTTTTGAAATCAACGTGGTGGAGAAATTCAAAGTCCCCGTAGAGGTCAGAGGGTGTTTTGTTTAAAATACGGAGCGATTCTGTTGCCGTAGTTTGCTACTGTTTTCTGTGGTTCAAAAGATCAACTTCAGTTTAGATTTTAAATTATTATTAACCTTGTAAATACAACAGCTTAACCCCTGTAAACAAGACCAACGCATCTTTTTCGATAAGATTGTCACTAGACCGTCTGACCTTTGGAATTCTGCTCAGAGTCTGAATGGTGTTGTCCTCTCCCGGGAACAGGTCCTCACCAGGTGGATGTACACAGTGAGGAAGGGGTACCGCGCTGTCACCTACCACAACTGGAGACACGGGTTCAACGTAGGGCAGACCATGTTCACCTTGCTGATGGTAGGTGCAGAGTGCTACAAATCATTGCACACCTCTTGGTCTCCTGCTCCAACATGATGAGAAATAGGTAGGAGCCATCCCTCGAGATCAGTAATCTTGGAGTTCACAGGCATGAGCCCACAAGCCCCCCTGCAGAGGATCCCAGGGAGCCGGATATCTGTGGGCACCCGGCTGGATTATCACTCACACCTTCCTGTACTGAACCTTCTTGAAGCAAAATTCAGCCACTTGTTAGGTTTTGGCATTGCCCAGGAAGTTAGACCAGAATCATGGTAAAAATGGGCCGGGGCCCCTTCCCTGTGGCAGGTAGGCATGGCGGATTTGGTACGGAAGTCTGTTAGTTCTGTGTACCCGTGTCTTGTAGACAGGAAGACTCAAGAAGTACTTCACGGATCTTGAAGCCTTCGCCATGCTTGCGGCGGCGTTCTGCCATGACATTGACCACAGAGGCACCAACAACTTGTACCAGATGAAGTAAGTGCGCACAGGCACTGCGCAGCCTGGACCCGCTGACTTCCGAAAACGCTGAGCGGGGGCGGAAAACTTGCCGGTCCCTGGGGGCCACATCTGGGACTCTCGGGTGTTTCGCTGCCCTCTTTCCTTTGTCTAAGTGCCCAGCCATGCCTCTGCCTCCCTTGTATACAGCTTCACTCTTTGTTTCGACAACTTTGTTTCGTCAGAGTATCGAATTCGCGCATTAACGTGCATGCATCTTAAGCTTACACCATGGAATCTTCAAAAAGTGCATGGGAAAAGCTAGTTCTGAACACACTACGCATGGTTTTCAAAAATCCAAGAAAATCTTCTTTCTGAATTCTATCTTCCATGAACTTTGTAAAAAATTTATTTGAAAAGCAGAGTTACAGAGAGGCAGAGGCAGAGAGAGGTTTTCCATCTGCTGGTTCACTCCCCAGATGGCTGCAATGGCCAGAGCTGGGCTGATCCGAAGCCAGCAGCTTCTTCCAGGTCTCCCATCTTCTACTGCTTTCCCAGGCCATGGCAGGGAGCTGCATCAGAAGTGGAGCAGCTGGGTCTCAAACCGGTGCCCATGTGGGATGCCGGCACTGCAGGGGGTAGCTTTACCTGCTACGCCACAGCACTGGCCCCTCCATGAGCGTGTTGAAGCACCCTTGTCCATCTGTGTGGAACACCCCCCAGTTCAACCTAAGGAATGCTTCTTCCTGGACTCACTACCCTTCCATTCCATGGTCCTCTTGCCTCTACCCAGCTCTTCTTCAGCTGGTCTCCCATCGTGACCTCAACGCCATCTTCCTGTCTTGCCCTAAGAAAGGCAGTGCAATAATAAGGATATAAGCTCTGGGGTTGGATAGACTTGGCTTCACTGGGCTCATGGGTGACTTCAACTTTTTGAGCCTTAATTCCCTCATCTGGAAAGCAGCAATGATAATAACAGGATCTCACAGGTAAGGTTGTTGGAAATGTAAAATGAAATCACGGATGTAAAAGTACTCAGCTCATGGCAGTCGATAAATATTACAGACTATTAACTCCAGTGATTATGTCCTTGTCACACGCCACAATTCATCAGCAGGGCAGGCTTCTCTCAGTCAAGATGCCCACATTGCATGTCAGGGCGCCTGGGTTCATAGCTGCCTCTGCCTCTCCACTCCAGCTCCCTGGGAGGCAGCAGTGATGGCTCAAGTCACTGGGCTCCTGCCACCCATGTGGGAGACCTGGATTGAGTTCTGGGATCCCAGTTTCAGCTTCATCTCAGCCCTGGCCGTTGTGGTCATTTAGCAGTGAGCCAGCAGATGGGATCTCCCTCTCCCTTTCTCTCTCTCTCTTCCCTCCCTCCCTCACTCTCTCCCTCCCCACCACCCCATTCCCTGTCTTCCTCTTTCCCTCTCCCTTTTAAATAAATGAATGAATGGTCTCTGAGAACTTACACACATTCATGAGCAATGGTCACCCCCAGCCAGCACCTTGATGGTGGTTTTTGAGATACTCTGCCTGGGCCACACTTTGTCCCCATTTCTAAAGCACTACCTACTCCTCTCCAGAGCTGTAGCATTTTACAGAGAGTGGGTTTGGGAATCTGAGTTTGTGGGGTGTAACTACTTCCTGTTTTGGGGACCTTGGGAAAGTCACTTAACCTGTCTTCCATCTGCTGCTTTACTCCCCAAATGTCCTCAACAGCTGGAGCTGGGCCAATCTGAAGCCAGGAGCTTCCTCCAGGTCTCACACATCAGTGCAGGGGCCCAAAGACTTGAGCCATCCTCTGCTGCTCTCCCAGGTGCATCAGCAGGGAGCTGGACTGGAAGTGGAGCAGCAGGCACTCAAACTGGCGCCCATGTGGAATGCTGGAGCTGTAGGTGGCAGCTTTACCCACTAAGCCACAACACCAGTCCCTCCATAATAATTCTTGAAGTGTCACTTTATGGACCCCTATTGTGTTGGAAGAATTGCCCAGGTGTCCAAAGAAATATCAAGACACCACATTAGTGGGGCTGGCGCTGTGGTATAGCAGGTTAAAGCCCCAGCCTGCAGTGCTGGCATCCCATATAGATGCTGGTTCAAGTCCTGGCTGCTCCACTTCCAATCCAGATTCCCTACTAGTATGCCTGGGAGAGCAGCAGGAGATGGCCCAAGTTCTTGGACTTCTGAACCCACATGGGAAACCCGGAAGAAGCTCCTGGCTTCGGATTGGCCCAGCTGCAGCTGTTGCAGTCATTTGGGGAGTGAACCAGTAGATGGAAGACCTCTCTCTCTCTCTGTCTCAACTCTTTCAAATAAATAAAAAATAAAAAGACACTACATTGGCAAGTGCAGCCAATGAAAATGTTGAATGAGCATGAGCTGCTATTCTCATGCTGGTGGTACCAGTGAGGCCACGTGGAGTGGCCTGGAGCTGTTGGGACACAGCTGATTGTTTTCTGGCTTGACCTTGTGCCCTTGATCTGATTACCTGTCTCCAAAAGGTCTGAGGCCCTTGCTTCCAGGTCCCAACCTTATCTCCCAACCTTTGACTGTGCCCTTTGATGGTCTCCTAAAAACCTGGCTGTTTTCCAATGTTTATTATTCCTTCAGGTTCTTATATCCTCTGCATTTATTTCATTTTTCTAACCAGTTTTATATTTTTATGTGTATAGAATTCTTTGTCCCTTTCATCTAAGTTTCCCTGTTCAGTTTTTGTTCTCTGATCTTTTGGTCTCTTTGATCTTATCCCTGGAGAAATGCAGTTATCAGAAATTTAGGAATTGTAGAATTCATCTCACTCCAATCCAATGTAGACATTTCTTCTACTGTATTCCTTCTTGCGTCCTCTGGCCCACATTTGATTACTTTCCGTAATGGAGAACCACTTGTTCTGTTCATCCTATTTTTGGAAAATTCTCATGGTTGAGTGTTCTCCATTGGTCTCCCTACAGCTTTCTGTTTGTTCTCACTGAGTTCTCTGGCTCTACTAGAGTAAGTTTACCTTCTCGTCCACAGTTTGTTCATTCATTTACTACAGGGAGTTACCACGTCCCGTCCCCAAAGACTCGCTTTTCCAGGATGAGCTTATCAAGTTGTTTGAACTATTTTTAAAGTAATGTTCTCTGCCATGTAATTTTAATTGTCATTTTTCTCTGAACCCAACCAGTGTTTTATGTCATTCTTAAAATATGGGTCTTGGGGTTCGACATCATCAAGACGTAGTTTGAAGTAGTACTTCATATTTAATCCTAATTAAATTTCATCCTCTTAATTTTTTATTCTACTCAGCTGAAACTTCTATGTAAGACTCTGTCAGCTTGGCCGGCGCCGCGGCTCACTAGGCTAATCCTCCGCCTAGCGGCGCCGGCACACCGGGTTCTAGTCCCGGTCGGGGAGCCGGATTCTGTCCCGGTTGCCCCTCTTCCAGGCCAGCTCTCTGCTGTGGCCAGGGAGTGCAGTGGAGGATGGCCCAGGTGCTTGGGCCCTGCACCCCATGGGAGACCAGGAAAAGCACCTGGCTCCTGGCTCCTGGCTCCTGCCATCGGATCAGCGCGGTGCGCCGGCCGCAGCGCGCCGGCCGCGGCGGCCATTGGAGGGTGAACCAACGGCAAAAGGAAGACCTTTCTCTCTGTCTCTCTCTCTCACTGTCCACTCTGCCTGTCAAAAAAAAAAAAAAAGACTCTGTCAGCTTAGTGCCTTTATTTTTCCCAGTATTGAAATCAGACAGCCCGGCGTCTGTGCGCGTTCACTGGTCAGGTGGAGCTGTGCATGAGGGCAAGAGCCAGGGCAGCGCTCTAGGGTGCAGGGCTGGAAACCGGGGAGCAGCCAAGGTGCTCAGTTAGGCAGCAGACGGGGCTCTGCTCTCCAGAAAGCTGAGTCAGCCCTGCAGGAGCACACTCGGTGGTCCAGCGTGCACAGACGAAGGAGACCACGGGCAGCTTCTCGGCTGCCTCGCTGAAACCTGGCCCAGGCCGTGCCTGGCCTCTGTCTACCCTCCCAAAGGGGGTTCACCATGCTGACCTGGCTTTGCTTTGTCTTTCTAACCATCCCTGCAGCTCCTGGAGATTATTCTGTGGGTGCTCACAAGCCATCTGTTACCTGTTTCAGGGATTAACGTCAATCTCCTCTCATCTACAAATTGCACCATTTTCTGCCTAAATTATAGGGTAAAATTTTACACTTGTCCACTCTTCAATCATCTCGTCATCTTAAATTCCCCAGAGAATACCAGCACCAGCCCCCCTCAGCCCCATTGTCAACTTTCTTTAGGAAGTTGGGATGTTACTAATTTGGGCTTAAAAAAAAAAAAAAAAAAAAAAAAAAAAAAAAAAAAAAAAAAACCTTAGTGTTTTCTTATCACCATCCACTGCTATAGTTTCGATTTTGAAAAATTATTCTTAGAAAGACAGGGAAATGGTAAGTGGAATAGTCAAATCACACATCACTTCTATGGCTTGAGGTTCTGTCCTTCGGTTATTTTCTGAGTGGCTGGACACAGCTGCAGTCCAAGTTATTTTCACTAATTCAGGTTTGCTGTTGCCAGATACTGTACATATAGGAAATTGCTTAATGCTGTGCTTTGCTTTTCTTTCTTCAGTATACCATTGAAATATTTAATAACTTTAATTCCATTTTAATATATTTCTATCGACTTAAAGGACCAACTGAGGGGAAGGGGGAGAGAGCGAGCGAGCGAGAGCGCTTCCCTCCTCTAGTTCATTCCCCAAATGCCTGCAAGAGCCAGGGCTGGGCCAGGTCAGTGCCCGATCTAGGAGTTCGGTTTGGGTCTCCCACATGGGTGACAGGAACCCTCCTGCCTCCCAGGGTGCACATTCCCGGGCAGCTGGAATGGGGAACGTAACAGAGACTCAAACACAGGCCCTCCAACAGCGGGGCGGGTGGGGCATTGCTGGTACTCAACACATCAGTTGATTTTCTTTTTATTGAAAAGAGCAAATTCTCATCTTTTAAACCTAAAATTTCCCCCTCAATATGTCATTTTTAATGATTTTGCAAACATTGGTTGGGAAGGGAGAGGGAAGACATAAAAAAATAAAATAAAAACCATGACCGTAAAGATTCTGTATTGCGTGGACTTACGTATAACCTTTAAAGTTATGGCCCGTCTCCTCCTAGATCCACATCTCCCTTGGCAAAGCTTCACGGGTCCTCCATCTTGGAGAGGCACCACCTGGAGTACAGTAAGACTCTGCTGCAGGACGAGGTACGTGGGCCGTTCACGGGTCCGGGACCAAAGCACTGGCCCACAGAGAACGCCTGGGAAGAGGCAGCCTGGGGTCGCTGCCGTGAGCCTCGTGTACCCACCGACAGACTGCTGGCTGGCTGTCGCTCTTGAACCAGCAGATGGGGTTCAGAGGAGCAGGAGCCCTGGGAGTCAGGGAGCTCTGTGGGTCTTGGGGAAAAGAGGAGAGCGCTTCCCAGGGCCCTGCGTGTCTTCATGTGTGTATGACCAGGGAGGGAGCACAGGCTACCTGCCCCTGAGCTTGTGGTTCCTGCACTGGGTTGTACCTTTGAGAAGGTCAGGCTTCGGGTAGCGGAGGGGACAGGAGTGGGGATGGATGGCAGAATTGGGCACCTGCCACCAGGGAGGCAGCTGAGAGTCCCTAGGGAGGGATCGCCTTTGGGGCAGGCCTGGGGCAGGGGTGGGGATGGAGATGGCTTTGAATCGCTTGAACTCCTGATGATTCCCGAGTGTTGTGTGCAGCCACCCCCATCTTTGTTAATGTCATTGAAGGAGGACTTAGGCCTGAGGGAAAGCTGCAGGTGTCACCTGGTCATAGATTCCTAGCAAGGTTCCAAGCCAAGAAGCATTAAAAGGAGTCACTGTCAGATGGAGGGGAACCCTGCTTCACCTGGTGGCAGAGAACCTGGTCCAAGTCATGCACTCGCCAGGACTGACAAGCGCCCTGGAGGTGGGGGCTTGCTTTCAGCTTCCATAACCATCTTTCATTAAAGGTCCAGGGCAGAAACACAGAAATGCACCCAAGTTTAGAAATAACACTAGAGACTTCTGGGTAATGGAAAACCAAAATGGTCCCCATGAGCTAAGCAGGAAACCCCCCAACCCCAGGGCAGAGTGGGCAGAAAAGTAGCAAAGGAGAAGGCAGCTGAGTCCTTCCCAGAGCCTGTGACTGCTGCAGCCCCCGGCACAGTTCTCACCTAAGCCTGCGCAGTGTGCCACACTCCGCGGTGCTCACAGCCAAGTGCCAGCCTTGTGCTTCAGTCCGCTTCTGTTGCTATTACACAGCCCCGGAGGCTGGGTTACTTACGAAGAACAGAGGTCTGTTTTGGCTCATGGTTCTGGAAGCTGGGAAGCTCCAGATCAGGCAGCCAGATTTGCTTGGCTTTAGAAGGGCAGGTGAGTATGTGTGCAACAGTGGAAACGTGTGGGGCTGCCTTGCTTCTAACAACCTGCTCTCCAGAGAAAGGCATGGATCTCTATGAGCTGACCACCTCCTTAAGACCCCACTATCTCTCAACAATACACTGGGAATCTATACCAACAGTTGCAGAGGGGACAAAACATTTCCAACCACAGCCCCTGTGTCACTCTAGATGGTGCTCCTTAGCCTGTGAGTACCCGGACCAACAGCGTCAGAATCATCCATTTAACTGGGCAAGAGCACAGATCCGAGGTTCGTTTCCCAGCTACTGGCCAGTCTGTCTACTTGGGGGTCTGGGGGTTTGTCTTTTCAATCAGACCTCCATTAAAGCTGATGTGAAGACAGAACTGTTCCCTGCTACAGCATCCACAGTGTAGACCATATCTGTTCTATGGCAACTAAAAGGAAGGTAGGGGTGGATTGCTATCACCTCGTTTGCTATGAGTCATTGTTTTACTGGGTGGGACAATCTTTGGTTTCTCAGTAAGAATTTTCTGCACATTCTCCCATTTCTATGATACCACCGTGAGATAGTGTCAATTATGACCTACCAATTTTAGACTCACCAGCTACAGCAAAATGCACTTGAAGAACTGTAGAAAAGTATCCGCGTGTTTATGCTGGGAGGCTCCTGGTGTCTTGTGTGTTTTTGTTTCTGGGCTTCGACCGTGTATAATAGAGTTAGGGCTTTCCATCTTCATTTTTTTTTTTTAATATTTACTTTGCAGTCCAGACCGGCTTTTTGATGGCTATATAAAGACTTGCTATTCTTTCTAAACAGGAATATTGCATGTCAGTAATCCATAGCACATTTTCAAGGACCTCTCTACAATACGATTCAGCTTGCTAATTGCAGACTTTGAAAGCCCTGTCAATAGAGTCGCTAGGCGATGCAGTCACACGACACTTGTTCACGAGCAAATTGAATGCTTAAAAAAAATGGACACTTCTCCAGCTTTGGATGTGCTTTTCATCCTTTGTAGAAATAACGCAGCTCTTTTAATTCCATAAAATTAACCATTAAGCTTATTCAAGGGAAATCCTTGGAATTTTTCCAGCAATTTTGGCATCAGTGGCAATGACTGAAGCATTTTTTTTGACGTCATAAAACTTTGAACTGAAATGTCCTTATGTCCTAGTAGAGTTGGATTTATTGCTTTAAGGAATAGAACTGCCAGGATTCTAAACCAGACAGGGTTCAACCTCTTCACCTCAATGAATAGGCGGGAACTTTGCTAGCCAAATTTGTAGGAGTATAAATTTTAATACTAAAATATACTGTAGAAATGAAAAAATAAGCTACTTAGCATAATAGTAGAATGCTGTGACTATTCCGGATGCCTCTTTACAAAGTTCACAAAGCATATGAAAATGTCATTTATGGTTTTTCATACCGACCCCATCAGCCTGGCCCACTTTATACAAAGTAGTGAAGAAGAAATTAAACACTACGTCACAGCGGCCAGCCAGGCAAGAACAGGTTTGCTATCTTCTCTCAACAGTGTCCCAGGCACCACACCGAAGATGAGAACTGCCCGTACTTTCCCTGGCCTCTCCCGGACAGCTCCGACCAGCATGAATTCAAGCTGTGTCTACCTGCTTGGGTGTGCTACACAGAAGTCATGTTTTTATTGCCTTTTTTAAAAGTCCAGAGAGAATAAAAATAGAGGCTTTCTGTGAGCCAGTGAAGCCAGCTGAGCAAGCAGAGGCCCCGCTGGGGCCGGCTCTCTCGCTCAGCTGCACCTGCCTCTATGTGATGTTTTGGGCACAATATTCTGGCAAACAAATGATGCTAGCGCCAAGCTGCAGGTATTTCATGAACATCGGATGAACTTCTCTGCAGTCACCCTGGGAATGTGCACAGGCCTCATGGGCAGCCACGATTTTTGAGAAATATGATCACACTGCCCAGGCTACTTTTTGAAGTCAAAGTTATATTTCTCAATCAACTTCATTGAAGTCTAATATATATACAATGAACTCCACCCTTTTAAAGTGTAGAGTTCTATAGGTTCTATAGGTTTTTTTGGCATTTTATACTGGGGAAACCACTTCACAGTCAAGTTACACAACATTTTTCTCACCTCAAATGGCTGTTGGAGCCCCTCTGCCACCCATCCCTCTATCCGCTCCTAGCCCTAGGCAGCCTGGCAACATTTCAGCCACTGCAGATCAGCTTAGACTTTCTAGATTTAAGTGTAGACATATGAAAAGCACTCTTTTTTGCTGACTTCTTTCAGAATTCTGGGATTTCTCCAATGTCACTGTGTCAGTGATTTGTTCCTTCTCATTGCTGAGAGGAAGTCTCCTTATCTTAAAGGTATTAGATTTAATTGTGGCCGGCGCTGTGGCTCAATAGGCCACCTTGCGGCGCTGGCACACAGGGTTTTAGTCCCAGTCAGGGCGCCGGATTCTGTCCCGGTTGCCCCCCTTCCAGGCCAGCTCTCTGCTGTGGCCCAGGAGTGCAGTGGAGGATGGCCCAAGTCCTTGGCCCTTGCACCCCATGGGAGACCAGGAAAAGCACCTGGCTCCTGGCTTCGGATCAGCGCAATGCGCCGGCCGCTGTGGTCATTGGAGGGTGAACCAATGGCAAACAGGAAGACCTTTCTCTCTGTCTCTCTCTCTCTCTCACTGTGCACTCTGCCTGTCAAAAATAAAAAAAAAATTAAAAAAGATTTAATTGTACTTGACTTTAACAGAACAGCACTGGAATGACATTGCAGAACTTCCTTGTCTTTATCATAAGAGATGTTAGTTTTTAAAGGGCCGTCTCAAATGACTAGTATCTATGAAAAATTTTCCAAAGCTATTGCTGTTGAGATGTTTGACATTTTAAAGCTGTTTGTGTTAAGAGTTTACAGTACCTATTAGTTCCCTGCTATGAAATACGAACCATTTAGGAGGATTTTACTTTTCCTCACATTTCTCTCTCTGCTTTAGAAGGCACTTATTAGTGTTTTTATCATTATCTGTATTTATAAGATTTGCATTGTACTCTATAATTGCCATTATTGCTTATTTTTTAAGAAATTGTATATATTTATTTGAGAGGGAGAGAGAGTGTGCCACAATCTACTAGCTCACTCCCCAAATATCTGCAAGAGTCCTGGTCCAGCCCGGGCTGCAGCTGGGAGCAGGGAAGGCAATTCAGGTCTCCAACATGGCAGCAGGAAGCCAGCTCCTGGAGTCACCCTGCTGCCTCCCAAGGTCTGTCTGGGCAGGAAGCTGCAGTCAGGAGTTACACTGGTTCCCCATTGTGTCATCTTTTTTTTTTTCATTAGATTTCCATTTATTTATTTTAAAGTTAGAGTTACAAAGACAGATTAATCTTCCATCTGCTGGTTCACTCCCTAGATGGTCACAGTGGCTGGGCTGGACCAGGCCAAAGCTGGGAGGCAGGAACTTCTTCCAGGTCTCTCAAGTGGGTGGCAGGGGCCTAAACACTTGTGCCGTTGTCCTCTGCTTGCCCAAGCTATTAGCAGGGTGCTGGACTGGAAGTGGAGCAGCTGGTTCTCAAACCAGTGCCCACAAGGAGGCGGTGGCTTTACCTGCTATGCCTCACCACCAGCCACCCTCCACTGTTTATTCTTGGTTCAGCTTTGAATTGAGACAAATATTATTGAGCCTTTGCACTTCCACATGAATTTTAGGATGTTTGTCAATTTACAATCACACATCAGCAAATTTGTTGTTTTGGTTGGAATGGCACTGAGTCTAGAGGAAGTGTGGGAAAAGCTATATATATATATATATATATATATATATATATCCACGTATTGATACGATGAGATTCAAATGTTTATTAGACATAGGCCTCAAATGTGGCTAAGAGCTTTCTAGGAATACAAAAAAAGAAAACAGCATCTTTTATACTTTGTAAGAATCCATACCCATAACCCTTAAAAGGAAGCCACTTTAGCTCTTTTAAGAAATTCGGGTGTGGGCCGGCGCCGTGGCTCAATAGGCTAATCCTCCACCTTGCGGCGCCGGCACACCGGGTTCTAGTCCCGGTTGGGGCGCCGGATTCTGTCCCGGTTGCCCCTCTTCCAGGCCAGCTCTCTGCTATGGCCAGGGAGTGCAGTGGAGGATGGCCCAGGTGCTTGGGCCCTGCACCCCATGGGAGACCAGGAAAAGCACCTGGATCCTGGCTCCTGCCATCGGATCAGCGCGGTGCGCCGGCTGCAGCGGCGGCCATTGGAGGGTGAACCAACGGCAAAGGAAGACCTTTCTCTCTGTCTCTCTCTCACTGTCCACTCTGCCTGTCAAAAATAATAAAAAAAAAAAAAAAAAAAAAATAAATAAATAAAAAAAAAAAGAAACTTTGCTTCAATGACTAAAAAATAAAGATCTTTAAAAAAAAAAAATAAAGATCTTTAAAAGAAATTCGGGTGTGAAAGAAAAAGAAAAGAATGTAGCATTAAGGAAGGTTTATTTTTAAATTTTATTTATTTGAAAGGCAGAGTTAGAGAGGGAGACAGAGATTTTCCATCTGCTGGTTCAGTCCCCAAATGGCCACAACAGCAGAAATCAGGAGACAGGAGCTTCTTCCTGGTCTCCCACATGGGTGCAGGGGCCCAAGCACTTAGGCCATCTTCTGCTGCCTTCCCAGGCCATTAGCAGGGCCTGGATTGGAAGTGGAGCAGCCAGGACTTGAACTGGTGCCCATATGTGATTCTGGTATTGCAAGTGGCAGCTTAACCTGCTATGTCACAGCACTGGCCCCAGGAAAGGTTTTTAAATTAGCAGACTTGTACAGATTTCCAGGTGAAAGTTGAAAATGAGGGAGAAAAAAATGAGTGCAATTTAGGTATACTGTGTTACATGGGAAGCAATGCTGAAAACTTTAAACTCCATTTTTCTCAATTATGTCAATTTTTGAAATTGTAGTATTGACTCATTTTTAACAGCAAATTTTTTGGGGGGATAATCTTTCACTTTTAGAACAGCAGTTTCATTATTTTGGGTTGGAAAAAGGTTATGACAAATAGAGTATAACTGTATTAGTAATCTCTCTGTATCTCTTTATATGTAGCTTTTTCTTTCCTACACTTGAACACCTGTCAAATGGTAACAGGTGTCCAAGTTTACAAACAAGCAACATGCACTGAACTGTTGCATAATCAACATTGATTCCTTAGGTCAATGGTTATAGATTCTGTCCTCTGTGCAGTTCTGTGGCAGCAAGGGAGTTTCAGTCCCAAAGGGTTATTTGAATTTAGCAGAGTGTTTTGCATTTTTAAATGACTTCAAGGGCTGTATTAATTTGTCAAAGAAGTTTAAGGCATTTTCATAAATTCCCTGGCCCGATTTTTTTTTTAACTTTAATTCAGCAATCAAGGTTGGCTTTCAGTGTTACTGAATCTCCAAAGTATGTCACACGCACTACTTGTGGAACACCAGCCTGTCAGTGTACACGTGAAGGCGGTGCGTCACTGATGTCAGTACGCCGTGGATCAGCTGCCAGTCCAAAGGGAAGACCACTGTCAGACCAAAGTCAGGGTATGCCAAGTAGGACGACACTGACTTGCCCCTCCCTGGCCAGCGCAGGTTGGGTTGAAAATGACTTGTGGGCAGATTTGGTTGAGATAGACATCGATACGCCCAGTGAACTGCTGTGAACGGTCCCAAGTAAGACATTGACTCCGTCTTTTTGTTTATTGAAATTTGCAGTGCTCCACAGCTGTTACTTCAATCTATCAACTTAGAAAGGCTAACTGATGAACACATTCTTTTAATGGAGAAAACCACAACTTACTAGTACTTACACGTGTTTTTACAAATATAGTTTAGTGTCTAAGACTTGGTTTCCTATCCAATTACTGCTCTCTAACATTTTAGTCTCCTGGAATGGCTGAGAGCCACTTTTGGTCCTAGGCTTGCAGTTCTATTTTAGCCTGGAGCTAGCCTCAAAATGTTACATTACACGACACAGGTTTCTGTAGTTCTGCAATGCATTCCTGTTATCATACGGACTCAACATTCCACAGTGATTTATTTGAACACAGACTCTGTGCGAGGCAGTTAGCCAGGGCAGTTGTTTTTCTCCCCACTGAGTAAACAAATACAGATGTGAAGTTCAATGTCTGAGACTATACCAAGTGGTGAAGCCAGGAACTGAACCTGGGGTCCGTGTTGAGAGTAGTATAGGGTAGGGACTGAGCATAAACTCTGTAGTTGTGCTACAGTGGTTTAGATAGCAATTCCGCCACATTCCAGCTGAGTACCTTTGAGCAAGTGACTTAACCTCTCTGTGCTGTGGTATGTTGGGAGGTGATTAAGAGTGCTCATAACACACCTAGACCTGGTAGGTATGAAGAACTAAGGATCTGCTTTTACTACTTGGTGCTTAGTCCACTATTTTTTCCTACATTATGCTACATCTGTTCCTCCATAAGGTTGACAGACTATGTCCTATTTTGATCCAGTGGGATTTTTCGGTTTTGTAAAACCACTATACATCTGTCCTTTGGCCTATATGACTAAAATGGTTTATTTGGAATATCAGAGCTTTTGCAAACTACTCCCAGCTTTATATGATCATTTTTAAAAACTAAGAAATGAAGCTCACCCATATATAAAAAAATCTTTATGAGAAACTCTGTGAAGAAAGGTTTAGTCTTTGTAAAATGCAATTGCAAGCAAGCATTTTCAGAATAGCACGGGAGGATTTCACCGTCTCTCCTCAGCAACCATGGCTCTGCTTGTTACACTATCTGACCTGCAGCTTCTGACAGACCAGAGTTTTCTGTGATCACGCAGAAGTCACCTAGTGGATGATGCAACATGTTTGACAGCTGAACATCTCCCCAAAACTCTTTAATGCATCTCCTCAATCAGTGCAAATTTGTGATCTACTGATTTTCTCAGTGGTCCTGGAAGAAAACACTACTGTTTGCTCCAAAAACTAAACACTGGTTGACTATTTGCTCAGTTATCTAACACATAGTTTAAATGGCCCTACTCAAAGTACAATACAAGGACTTACTTTATCTACAAGATAAAAACTGAACTCAAAACAGTGTTGAAAGACCTAGATTTTCTTGTTGTTAAGCATAGTTTGGTTTGTTTGTTGAATCAAAGGCGAGTTAATGATTCCAATTCATTGTGCATTTTCATCTTACAGAGCTTAAACATCTTCCAGAACCTCAATAAGCGGCAGTTCGAAACAGTTATTCATTTGTTTGAGGTCGCAATAATAGCCACAGACCTGGCTTTGTATTTCAAGTAAGTGCACAGCTGTACAACACAACGCTCCTCTACTCTGTGCGGTTTACTTTCCAAAATTAGCCGTTGCATTGCACTGTTGTACTATTCTGCAAACTGTCACATTCTGTTGCATTCACGTTTAAAGGCAATCGATAACTTGTTTTCCTTTTGAATGACCAATCAGACTATCTTTGAAATAGATGTCTGGCAGTGAATTTACTAGACATTGCCAGATGGATTTTAAAACTTAAGCCCCTAGCCTTATGTGGTTTGTTTATCTGAAGAAGTTGGAGATGAAAAATATGCAGTGAAGTTTGTGTGTTGTTAGAAGAGTGACACCAAGAAACGTCACAAGGTGGGTTTTGTCTTGGTGAATTCAGTGCTGTGCAAGTATAAAGTTATTTAGGGTTTCAGAAATTTGGTACTGTCAGAGTCTGGGACTGAACAAAAGACAGTGATTGTATAGGAACCTAACTCACAAAACAGTTAACTACAGCAGAGCGTTGGCCTGTTCACAACAATGATATTGTCATGGAGACCAGATACCCTAAGTATTTGCACATTTTCTTCTAAGTGAGCATTTGAGTTGTTTGGTCAAAATGGATTAGAACAAGATGAACTTTTTAAAAAATATATTTACCTGAAAGGCAGAGTTAGAGAGGGAGAGTGACAGAGAAAGATCTTCCATCAGTTGGTTCACTTCCCAAATGGCACCAATGATCAGGGCAAGGCCAGGCCAAAGCCACGATCTTCTTCTGGGTCTCCCATATAGGTGGCAGGGGCCCAGATGCTTGGGCCATCTTCTGCTGCAGGGTGCTGGACTGGAAGTGGACCAACTGGGACTTGAACCGGCACCCAAATGAGATCCCAGCACTGAAGGTGGTGACTAAGCTGCCGTGCCACAATGCTGGCCCCGAAATTAACTTGTTAGAGGACTCAACTGTCCAATGACCTGGGTCAGTGACAAATTAAGCCTTTCTGATCTTTAAGTAAACATTTAATAGTTGAAACAAATAGTTGAAATACAAACTTAGAATAATATAATGGCTTTCTAAACATCTATAACCCAGACTCAACAAAAGCTTAATTTTGCCACATTTTTCTCAGATCACATTTTTTTTAAAAAGATTTATTTATTTGAAATAGTTCCATCTGCTGACTTGTTCCCCAGATAGCTGAGCCAGGCCAAAGCCAGGAGCTTCAATGTCTGCTGCGTGGGTGGCAGGGGCACAAACACTTGGGCCATCTGTTGCTGCTTTTTGCAGGCCATTAGTAGGGAGCTGGATCAGAAGTGGAGCAGCTGGGACGCATGGTGGCACCTGCTGCATTACAACACTGGCCCCCAGATCTCATTTTTATGAAGCAAACAATTAGTGATGTAACTCAGGCTTCTCACCCCTACTCCAGCATGAAGGTCCCTTCTCTTTCTCCTCAAAAACACCACAATTTGATGTTGATGTGTATTCACCTTCTCCATCTATGTATTAAGGACTGAAGGGGGTGGGGAGATTGACCGATTATCTTTCATCCACTGGTTCACTCCTCAAATGGCCACAGTAGCTAGGTGTGGGGCAGGCCTAAGCCAGGAGCCAGGAATTCCATCCTGGTCTCCCATTTGGATGACAGGGGCCCAAACACTTGGATCATTATCCAATGCCTTCCCAGGTGCATTAACAGGAAGCAGAGCAGCCAGGACCTGAATCCACACTCCGATGAGGAATGCTAACGTCCCACGTAGTGGCTTAGCCCACTGTGCCACAGCACTAGCCCCCATCTGTTTTTATATGATATTAAATGTACTTTACATTTTTCTACAAATAGTACCACACTCTGTATGTGCCTTTCTGCAACTTGCTTTTCTCATGCAACATTATGTCTTGGAGCTTTTCCCTTGGTCATAAGTGGAGATTCTGGGCCGGCGCCGTGGCTCACTAGGCTAATCCTCTGCCTAGCGGCACCAGCACACCAGATTCTAGTCCCGGTCGGGGCACCAGATTCTGTCCTGGTTGCCCCTCTTCCAGGCCAGCTCTCTGCTATGGTCCGGGAGTGCAGTGGAGGATGGCCCAAGTGCTTGGGCCCTGCACCCCACAGGAGACCAGGATAAGCACCTGGCTCCTGGCTTTGGATCAGTGCGGTGCGCCAGCCGCAGCACGTTGGCCACGGCGGCCATTGGAGGGTGAACCAACGGCAAAGGAAGACATTTCTCTCTGTCTCTCTCTCACTGTCCACTCTGTCAAAAAAATAAGTTGAGATTCAACTCGTGGTTTAACTGCACAAAGTTGGATATATCATAACTCAGTCATCCATTCCTCTATTCACCGACATTTAGATTGTTTTTCGTTGCTGCCTGCAGTGCTACAGTGTATATTCCTGTGTACATATATGAAAGATTCTCTAAAGTACATCCCTAGAAATGGCAGTGCTCTGGGGTTTATGCCTCCAACTGTAGTCACATTGCACCACTGCACTCTAAAGCGGGGCCCATGTATCCTTCCAGCAAGGACGCCTAGCTAGAATATTCCCTATTACCCCTATCCAGGGTAATCCTGACCTGGGCACATTCAACATTTTGCTAGTCTTACAAGTGTGCACTGGTGTCTCCTTGTTCACATTTGTATGGTCTCAATTACTAATGAGACCAAGCAGCCACATATTTTGGGCTCTAATTTTTTGTTGGCTATGTGTGTTGTGATATCACAGCGTGTGGCCTTGATGTTTGTCATAGTTTCTTCTCACATGTAACTTTTGTTCTATTGCATTTGAACTCACCTGGGTTTTTTTTTTTCCCCCTCTGTGGTCTGTGCTTTTTCTGTCACAAGCTTTTTGTACTGAAGTTTTAATTGTCCCCTGTTCTCCTACCCGCTGGCTCCTTAGACTGGCTTTGAGGTCACCCTGACATCAGGACAAGAAATCTGAGAAGCGTGTACTTACGATATCTTTTCTACCTGCTTTTATATGCTGACACAGCTCTATCTCTTATAGGAAGAGAACCATGTTTCAAAAAATTGTTGATGCCTGTGAACAAATGAAAACTGAAGAGGAGGCTATCAAATACGTAACCATTGACCCAACCAAAAAAGAGATCATCATGTGAGTAGCCAGAATTCTGTTTCTCTTTTGGCAAAAAGAACTTACTTTGGATTTCTGTCTTCACAATTTTTGCTTTCTCCCTAAGGGCAATGATGATGACTGCATGTGACCTGTCTGCTATAACCAAGCCCTGGGAGGTACAAAGTCAGGCAGGTCCAGCTTTGTTTTCTTTTCTGTCTCACTCCCAGGTACTGTCTAGGTCCCGTGTCCAAGTCCACATAAAGAAGGGTGGCAACCTCAGAACTCTATTCTACCCATAGAAATGGTACAACAACAGGTCCCTTAATCGGGCCCTAGAATCAAGCAAATAGACAAAATGTTGGAAAGAAAATGCTTTCTTGAAAGAGTTCCTTATCATTCAACAGGCTGAAAAATTTTATTTCAGGGAATGTCTGTTTTTAAGAGCGAACAGTTAGAACAAGACCAGGATGTGTCGGCAATGCCAATCAAGGGTAGTGGGGGAGACGGACAGGGCTCCCAGCTACTGGTTCACTTCCCAGATGGCAGCAGTGGCCAAGACCAAAGGAGTCTTAGGTCTTCCACCCACATGGGTGGCAGGAACCCAGGTACTTGAGCGATCACCTGCTGCCTCCCAGGGTGCACATTAACAGGAAGCTGGAATCAGGCACTAGAGACAGGGATCAAACCCAGGTAGTCCAGTGTGGGACTCAGGTGTCCTAACCTCTAGGTCAGATGCCCAGCCCTCAGTTCAGTCTTCCACACGCTTTTATTAGAAATACGGTGGCAGCCTCCTAATCGGTCCTCTCGCATCATTAACTCCCCACCCATTCCCTGACCTGCTGCTGGGATTCTTTAAAGTAGAGCTGAGGCAATAGCACAATGATCAAATTATTTAGAAATGAGAGAAGCTCTGATGAGCCATCCCACTGCCTTTCAAACTCCTCAACAGCCATGGTTTCCAACTTTTTTTAATTTTAAGAAGTCCATTTTTACCCTATGCAACATGTACAAAGATCACTTCATAAAAGAGAAAACAGCAAAGCTCAGTTAGCTTTCCTCGCCCCTGGCCTCCAACCTCTTGTATCCCTGGTGCACATCTGAGGTATCCAAGGGCTCCACTGGTAAAAACCGCTGGCCTGGAGAACCAAGTTCAAACTTTGCAGCAAAGGTTACCTGGCCTGTCACCACCTGTCCTTAATGCCCACGCCTGGGGCCACTTCCTATCACTCCCTCTCATGTCCCCACTCCAGATCCGATGCTCTGGACACACTGTGTCATCTCCACACATGGCCTTCCCCTCCCCTTTACCTGGTGAGCTACTCTTCACTCTTGATGACAGAGTACAAGTAGGCAGTTTAGAGAAAAAAAGATTAATCTCCATGTGCGTGTGTGTGTGTGAACATGTGCACACACAGATGTAGGCTCGATGCTAACAGATAGGTGACACAGGACTTGGGAAGCGGCAGAGCCGGAAACATAATGTGGAATGGAATCAAACATCCTCCCATTTCCCCTTTTTATTGTCAAGAAGGGTAACAACAGCAAATAGGAGATAGGCACTCAACACTGAAGTAGGAAGAAAAGTTCCCCCTTAAATCTTCTTGAGGACATTTGATGTGACAAAATTTCAAGCATGGACTATGAACTGTACCCTTAATGTCACTCATGCTATATTAGTTAAGTGGAGTCAGTGAACCAAGCCTCTCTCCTCTCTAGGTAGCACTTATGGTTGCAAATGAATTTTGGGAGCAAGGCGATCTGGAGAGAACGGTGCTGCAGCAACAGCCTATTGTAAGACCTTCATATCAAATGATCTACACAAATCAGTTGCTTTTGTTCACTAAATTTTAGAAAACTACTTAAAAGGGTTTCTCTTTCTAGCCTATGATGGACAGAAACAAGAAAGATGAACTACCTAAACTTCAAGTGGGATTTATTGATTTTGTCTGTACTTTTGTATATAAGGTACGTAAACAACTTAATTGAGTGAAACATGAAAATGGGGGTGGTCTTCAAAAAGCTCAGAGAAAATCCTCATTACGTTGTAATTCCATTTTTCACAAACTTTTGGGAAGGTAGCCTTATATATTCATTTGAGAATTTTTCTTTCAAACTAACCAAAGTTTAAAAAAAAAAAGTCATCCACAAGGAAAGCCATTAGGAGTGTCATTGTTTCTCCAAAGTAGTTGGAGGTGTTTACTCAGCAGTGTAATAAAAGAACCCGGGTGTGGACAAACTGAAGAGTTACACAGGCACACAGGTGGGCAAGAAACCACCTTCCCCAAGCTTCAGAGGCACCGAGTTAAGTTCCTCCCAGCAACTCTGAGACCCCACCAGCTCCTTACAGTTCCTTCTCTGCTCTTGAAAACCACTGAATGGCCGGCGCCGTGGCTCAATTGGCTAATCCTCTGCCTTGCGGCGCTGGCACACCAGGTTCTAGTCCCAGTTGGGGCGCTGGATTCTCCCGGTTGCCCCTCTTCCAGGCCAGCTCTCTGCTGTGGCCCAGGAGTGCAGTAGAGGATGGCCCAAGTGCTTGGGCCCTGCACTCCATGGGAGACCAGGAGAAGCATCTGGCTCCTGCCATCGGATCAGTGCGGTGCGCCAGCCGCAGCGCGCCAGCCGCGGCAGCCATTGGAGGGTGAACCAACGGCAAAGGAAGACCTTTCTCTCTGTCTCTCTCTCTCTGTCCACTCTGCCTGTCAAAAAAAAAAAAAGAAAAGAAAAGAAAAGAAAAGAAAAGAAAAGAAAAGAAAACCACTAACATCAGCTTTACGAGTTAAGAAGTCTCTGACCGGAAATTCTCTCTAGGAGTTCTCGCGGTTCCATGAAGAGATCACACCTATGCTGAACGGGCTTCAGAATAACAGAGTAGAATGGAAAACCCTGGCTGATGAATACGATGCCAAGATGAAGGTAATCGAAGAGGAGGAGAAAAAGCAGGAGGAAGGAAACTCTGTCCAAAAAGGTAGGATGGCATGTGTTTGCATCAAGAGAAAATGCAAGCAGGAGGCCGGCCTCCCTGGTACGGCCTGGTAATCCTGGGGAGCTGATGAGTGGTTTTCCCTCCTCTCACGCACATTATGTGTAATTTCGGACCAGCTGACTCCTAAGGTACCCCGGCAGAACACTGTTTTTTAGGAGTAATAGGAAAACCACAGACTCTTGGGGATCAGGGTGAGCAGTTTTGATTCCAACTCTGTATTTGGGCAACTTGCTTCACCTCACTGAGCCTACTATTCTAAGGAGGCTCTGCAGGTGACCTGGAGGACACTCCAAGACTCTTGTCCCCCAAATGTCCACATGGTGCAACTTTTCCTGGCATGAAATTCTACACCTAAAGCCACTCTATCAATTTTAACACAAATGCTTAAGCTCAAATATTAGTTTATCAAACAATCCAAATGTCATCTTAAAAGTGAATGCTGATTTTGTCTTAGCAAAAGTTTAGCTCTCAAAGTTAAGAAATTCTGTTTAACAAAAGTCTTCAGGTCAAAGAACACAGCTTTTAGATGGTTCTGTTGTTTAGTGGTACTTTATTTTTAAAAAATATCTACTTGATAGACAGTTATGGGAGTTGGGAGGAGGAAGGGAGAAAGAGATGTTCCATTTGCTGGTTCACTCCCTAAATGGCCACAATGGCTAGGGCTGGGCAAGCTGAAGACAGGAACCCACTCAGGTCTCCCATGTGGGTGGCAGCGCCCAATACTTGAGCCATCTTATGCAGCTTTTCCAGGCGCCATTTAGCAGGCAGCTGGATAGGAAGTTCAGCAGCACTCATATGGGTGCTGGCACTGCAGGCAGAGGCTCATGTCCCTCAGTGGTGCTTTCAACAACTCCTAAAGGGAGAAAACACTCTTAACAAAGGCAAGGCTGTCCTTCAGCAAGGTAATAACAGGAGTTTGACTCCTGATATCCATTTACTTACATACTTTCTGGGTGTCTACTCTGTCCAAGGCCCAATGTTAGGCATACCCTGGAGAAAGATAGATCCTTAACCAGTGGAAGAACTAGATATTGACATAATCAATGCCCGGTCGATGAGCTAACCAGAGCCTGGGGCATGGGGAGGGCTCTCCGGAGTCTCAAGAGAACAAGATTTGGCTCACAACAGAAGGGAGGAGTGCAAAGGGAAAGGAAGAAACGGAATATGCACAAAGGCCTTGAGCTTGGAATATGCTTGCTGCGACTGAAGAATTCAAACACTGGTGTAGCAGAAACTGAGAGCAAGAAGGGCAAAGGTTCAGCTTTATAAAGCTGGTAATGCAGGCAGCTGCCTGCCAGTGCACTGCCCTGACGTCCTCGCTAAGAATTTCATAATGTTCCATGGTCAGCAGAGGACTTAGAGAGGAAAGCAGCAGGATGTGACCCACACTTCAAAAAGGAAGGAAAGAGGTTTCTACTGAGCAAGTGAGAAGTGAAGATATTTCTTAGTGCTATTCAATTTTATTTTTTTTAAAGATTTATTTATTTGAAAGGCAGAGGCAGAGAGAGGGTCTGTCTGCTCTCTACTGGTTCACTCCCCACATGGCCACAACAGCTGGAGCTGTGCTGATCCGAAGCCAGGAGCTTCTTCCGGGTCTCCCACATGGGTGCAGGGACCAAGCACCCGGGCCATCTTCTGCTTTCCCAGGCCATAGCAGAGCTTGATTGGAAGCGGAGCAGCTGGGACTCAGACTAGTGCCCATATGGGATGCCAGTACTGCAGGCGGCAGCTTTACCCACTACACCAGCCCCTCAATTTTATCTTTAAAATGAAGAAACTCTCGGGTCTTTTAAGTAGTCCTAATAGTAAAAGAAAATATTCAGTATATTGGGTATGGATGATATGTACTTGATTTGCATAAAAACTGACTTCTGATTTTTTGTAAGAACTCTTTGTGGACTAAGAACATTCCTTTGTATCCCCCTGCATCATCTCAGTGAGAAACAGTGTAATTGGCTATTTTTTTAAAAAGATTTATTTATTTGAAAAGTGGAATTAGAAGCAGAGAGCGAGCGAGCTATCTTCTCTTGCATCCGCTGGTTCACTCCTCAGATGGCCACAATGGCTGGAGCTGCGTAGACCTGAAGCCAGGAGCTTCTTCCAGGTCTTCCACGGGGGTGCAGGGGCCCAAGGACTTGGGCCATCTTCCACTGCTTTCTCAGGCCATAGCAGAGAGCTAGATCAGAAGTGGAGCAGCTGGGACTCAAACTGGAGCCCATATGGGATTCTGGTACTGCAGGCAACAGCTTTACCCGCTATGCCACAGTGCCAGCCCCTTGGCTAACTATTAGATTATTATTTTTTTTTAATAGATCAATTCAAGGGTAGGTGTTTAGCCTAATGGTTAACATACCCACATCCCATATCAGAGTGGGTACAATTCCTGGCTCTGGTCCCTGATTCCTGTTAATGTACAACCTGGGAGGCAGTGGTGATGGAGAATTGGGTTCCTGCTACCTGCATGGGAGAACTGGATTGCGTTCCTGGCTCCCAGCTTCAGCTCCAGCCTAGGACAAGGTTGTTGCAGTCTTTGGAGAATGAACCAATGAATAGCAATGCTCTTGCTCTGTGTCTCTGTCTGTCAAGTCAATTTATTTTAAAAAATAAATGGATCAAGGGCTGGTGTTTGTGTGCAGCAGGTTAAGGCACTGTGATGCCAGCAATCCATATTGGAGACCTGGTTTAAGTCCCAGCTGCTCTTCCAAACCAGTTCCCTGCTAAACGCACTGGACCATCCTCTGCTGCCTTCCGAGGCACATGAACAGAGAGCTGGACTGGAAGTGGAGTAGCCAGGACTTGAACCAAAGCTGACACGGGATGTAGTCCTCTCAAGAGGCACCTTGATCCACTATGCTATGAGACCCACCCCGAATTCAAATTTTTGAGTGGTCAAACCCTTAGTAGCTGGGATAAGTTAAAGTTATTAATTAGGCTATAAGGTTGATCCTAATTACCATGAGAATGTTGAAACAAACGCTAATACACTGACTCCTAAAACTACTGCTTTTCTCATTTTTCCTAGTTGCTGAAGTCTCAGGAGGTGGCAGTGAAGACAAAAAGTCCAAAACGTGTCTGATGTTGTAATGTAATCCAATGGGTCTAAATTTCAAATATTTTAATTTTGAAGAAAAAATATTCAGAAGAACTTCAGTGAGTTTCATTCAGCAAATCATCTAACAACAGAGAGGAACTTTAGAAAAACTACCCTGTGACTATCAAGAATATATGTACTGCTAGCCTGAACGTGAGTAAAACAATGTTTAACAAAAGAACAAAGTAAAAATAGATGTATTTTTGGTGCCAATTTATTTCAAGTTTCTTTAAAAAGTATAATCCTAAAACTAGTCACTGATGTTAAAAGTTAATTCATTCCATTTGTTTGCTAAGACTGCTTTAACAAAGTAACAAACTGGTTGGCTTAAACAACAAACTTCTTTGCTTATAATTCCAGAGACTAGAAGTTCAAGATCAAGGTGTTGGCAGGGTTGATTTCCTATAAGGGCTTTCAACTTGGTCTCTGGATAGCCATCTTCTCCTCATGACATCATATGATGTTCCCTCTGAATGTGTGTCCTAATTCTGTTGGATTATGGCCCACCTGTATCAGCTCAGCTGAAATTAACTGCCCTGTCTCCAAATATAGTCACATTCTGAAGTAGTGGGGATTAGGACTTCAACATATGAATTTCAGAGGTGGGGAACAATTTGGCCCATGTAAGTCTTAATTCTGATTCACACTTCACTTTCTGAACTAAAAATTGCACACTGACACATCTTAAGATTAAATATAGTATAGTATGTGTAATATATGTACATAAGATGAATATTGGTTTTCTTTTACTGATTCACCCTTAATAATGGAATCACCATATCAACTTAAAAAAAATTTATTTATTTGAAAGTCAAAGTTAGAGAAAGAGAGGGGTCTTCCATCTGCTGGTTCATTCCCCAGTTGGCCACAAAAGCCAGAAGCCTCCTCTGGGTTTCCCATGCAAGTGCAGGGGCCCCATCACTTGGGCCATCTTCTGCTTTCCCAGGCCAGAGCAGAAAACTGCATCGGAAGAGGTGCAGTTGGGACATGAACTGGCGCCCACACGCGGCGCTGGCCCTGATTCTATCAACTTTAGCAATTTAAAAAAACTAAATTGTGTTCTTATCCTATGTCTCCCCTTTTCAAATTCTAGAATCAATGACTTTCATATGTATAATGAAGAATATTTTTGAATTTGCAGAATTATACCTCTGACAGAATTATTGCTTTATAAAACATACTTAGCTATAGGATTATCCAAGAAATATGACATGGTTTGACCATTAAGAACTTCATTATCAAAAGCAATTTGGGAAGATTCCAGTTAAGATTACTTTTTAAAAATGATTAATAGAGGCTAATCCTCTGCCTGCAGCGCTGGCACCCTGGGTTCTAGTCCCGGTTCTTCCTCTTCCAGTCCAATTCTCTACTGTGGCCCAAGTGCTTGGGCCCTGCACCCGCATGGGAGACCAGGAGGAAGCACCTGGCTTCAGCATGGTGCGACAGCCGTAGTGGCCATTTGGGGGGTGAACCACCGGAAGGAAGACCTTTCTCTCTCTCACTAACTCTGCCTGTCCAAAAAAAAAAAAAGATTAGTATATAAAATGACTGTGCTAGTTTTATTAAATTGTTGAGAGAAACTAAGAATAATCCATTTCTTCCACTATATAGTGTACATCTTTCCAGGTATCAAAGAAATCTCTTCCTTTACTTATCTATAATCATAGATAAGGGGGCATTGTGGCATAGCAGATTAAGCTGCTGCTGTAACGCCAGCATCCCATATCAGAGTACTGGTTCAAGTCCTGATTGCTCCACTTCTCTCCAGCTCCCTGCTAATGTACTTGGGAAGGAATCAAAAGATGGCCCTAGAACTTGGGCCCTTGGCAGCCATTTGGGGAGTGAACAAGTAAACTGAAGATCTTTCTCTGTCTCTCCCTGATGTTCTGCCCTTCAAATTAATTAATCTTTTTTATATACGTATATTAAAAAATCATGGATGAAATTTTAAAATAGGACATAATAGTTATGCCATATTTTGTCATATTTTTGTCAAAAGATATGTACATTATAAGGAACTGAGTTGAACATTATAAACTTCAAAAAGTCTTGTTACATACAAAATAATGTTCAATTTTAAGCAGCCCAGAAATAAATGACCATTTGTTATATTATTTAACAAGTTAAATACAATGTAAAGTTCACGTGTAGGGATTTTTGTCTATTTTGTTCACAGTGCTATCTTGGTACCTAGGGTAGTGTCTGGCACTCAGTAAATGTGAATGAATAATATTCTGAATAAATGTAAAAACAAACTGAGGTGAGGAATGGCTAAATCATATATACACTCAAGTAAGTTGCTTACTAAAGTCATTACCACGCTACTACCATCAGTTTTACAGCTGAATATTTCAAGCACTTTTACCCTGGAAATCAAGATTGCTTTTTATTCTTCATAAGTAGTGAGATAATCCCCTCATTTCTTGAGGAAATTTGTTTTTTCAAACAAAGCTTGACATTAATATGCACCCTGATTTCCTGACAGAAGCTTAGCAATGGTTCTGGAATCTCCTTGACAGCAGTGCCCCACTGCCTCACACACAGAGAAACCTGTGGAATTCATAAATAACTGTACAATGAAAGAAAAACCTCTGATACCAACCATTTCAAATTAGACACGAGGCTGCTCAGTGTTGCCATTTAATGCCAATCATTTCCATGTTTTAAGTGCCACTTAAAATAGTGTATCATTCATCAAAGAAGCTAAAGGTGACACAATTGTGGATAAGCAACTGAAAAGAGTCTTCAAAAAGTTTACATGGATTTCAAAATGGTTTGTACCAAAGTAAACTTACCTTTCCTTTCATTTTCCCATGAGTTTTTTGAAGTTGCTTCACATAAGGGACAGGGGAAAACACAGAACTAATGCATCTCTAAAGCATCACATTGTGAGAGTAGCTGAATTTTTATTTCCAAAGACAAACCACTCCAGTTGCAACGTGCAGTCAGAATTTTTATGATGTTTCAAAGTGAACGTCCACATTAAGGAATGTAAGCTTCTCTCTCCCATCTCACAGAAACAAATCCTGAAAATACTCATCAAATTCTTCTTCCCTATTAAAAGAAAAAGTATATTGATTAAAATCAATAATTAAAGTAAAAAAATTACTAGATGACACATTACATGAGATTAATGAAAATACTTTAACATATTGACTGGCTCCTTTATATATGAATCTTGTTTCATGATTCAGCCAATAAATAATCAGAGTGATGCCATGACAACAGTAAAGGCTTTCAGGTTACATGGTGTGAAGTCCTAGCTATCAGTTTTTAGCTGTGTGAACAAGCTACTTAACTTGTTTGAACTGTTTCCTTATCTGTAAGGAAGATAATTCACTTACTACATCTAGACACAACTACTTTTCTTTTTCTAGGATCGGGGAATCAAGCTTGATAATAACAAGTAGCTTAGCAGTCAATCTCTTTACAAAATGGTCTTTTAGGTCAGACTCCAAATTTGTTTTAAATGTTTGAGAATTCACAAAACTATCACAACCATGTACAAATGTGAAGGAAAAAAATTACAGAATAAAGTTGATTAAGGAATTATCTGCAATTTTGTATTGTCCTTATGTTATTTTTTTATTTTCTCTAGCATGGAAGCAAAATGCAATAGGATTTGTAAAACTGTATTCATAACTTATATACAGGAAATCGGTTGAGTCTCTATGGACTTAAGTACTGACATTTCACATCAGTGTCAAAGAATTGAATATACAGAATTTTCTATTATGAAAGTCTTTCATAGGATTTACCCATGTACCTATATTGCCCAAAGACTTGATCAGAAGACCTATTGTTATTTTCAGCTAAAGGTCTTCAAGGGGAAATGATCAAAAACGGTTGAGAGTTTGGACAGCAATATATTATTTACAGTAATCTATAATATTAAATCAATCAATAATAACCCACCTTTGGGAATTCTTTATTTGGCTAAAGAAAATAAGGTTATGGTTATAGGAAAAAGGAAAAAGTAATCCTAGAAACTTCTAACATCTGAATTCTATTAGTGAGATCATATAATTAGCAAAATATTTTATAATCAGTTTCAACTAATGAATCAATTGATTCAACAGGTCTCTTTTTATTATGAGCCAATATGTCTAGGAATTGGCAAAGTGAGACTAACATTTACTGAGCACTTAAAATATATTAAGTATTGTACTTGGTGCTTTACCTTCTGTATTTCATTTAACCTCCACAATAAACTATATGGTAGGAATATTACCTTCTTTTGCTAGGTAAAATTCAAATGGTAAACATCCAAATATTTATCATTAGAGCAGCCCATTCCCAGAGTATCACCTCCATCACACTGCAGAGAATAGTAAGTACACTGTATAAGTCTTCAGGGTTTCCTTTGTATGGTTCATGATCATCACAATACTATGAATGAAATAGCTTTCTCTGGGCTGGAAAACAGCCTTTGGTGAAGGAATCCAAGCAAGGACCAGAGGGTCATCTGTTAAGGTGAGCTGATGAAACATTTACTTACCAGGAGGAAGCTGAACACATGGGCTGCTGATGGCCATAAACAATGGCTAGAAATAAACTTCCATCTTACCAGGCTAGGTAGTCTTTGGCATTAAATACACTCATCCTGTTAAATTTTTTCACTAGCTGTCATCAGGAATGACTGTGGCCATAGCTTCATCTATCAATACTAGCACTTACTGGGATTTTTCATCTGTCTCTGGTAGTGGACCCTTCCACAGTTCAGACTCTGAAGCACTGTCTTCCTCATCAGAGTTTCCTGTTCATTTCAAAGAGATTTTTTTTTGAATGCGAGTGTTATATTTAAAACACATTTTAAATTACAATTAAATTAACTGTGGTTTAACTGCAACTTTTACAGTTCTCTGGAAATTGAATTCCCTCCCCCAGATATAATAATCAGAAAGATACCCAAGAATCTCAGCAGAAAGGCCAATAATTTAAGTTACAGTGATTTAAGTAACAACCCCAATACTACCTCTTACAAGGGAATTCTCTTGTATAAAGTTACCTTTTTAAGTCTCCTCTTTAAGATTTTTGTAGAAAGTATATGAAATGATGTGTAAGATGAGCTAAATTATGAAAACATTTGTCATTTTTAAAAATGAATGTTGATGGCCGGCACCACTGCTCACTAGGCTAATCCTCCGCCTGCAGCACCGGCACCCCGGGTTCTAGTCCCAGTTGGGGGGCCAGATTCTGTCCCGGTTCCTCCTCTTCCAGTCCAGCTCTGTGGCCTGGTCCTTGGGCCCTGCACCTGCATGGGAGACCTGGAGGAAGCACCTGGCTCCTGGCTTCGGATTGGCACAGCGCGCTGGCCATAGTGGCCACTTTGGGGGGTGAACCAACAGAAAAAGGAAGACCTTTCTCTAACTCTGCCTGTCAAAAAAAAAAAAAAAAAAATGCTGATTACATTAATCAAAAGAAGGCTGATCCTTAGAGAATGTATTATTATTATTATTTTTTGACAGGCAGAGTGGACAGTGAGAGAGAGACAGAGAGAAAGGTCTTCCTTCTGCCGTTGGTTCACCCTCCAATGGCCGCCGCAGCCGGCACGCTGCGGCTGGCGCACCGCGCTGATCCGATGGCAGGAGCCAGGTGCTTCTCCTGGTCTCCCATGGGGTGCAGGGCCCAAGCACTTGGGCCATCCTCCACTGCACTCCCTGGCCACAGCAGAGAGCTGGCCTGGAAGAGGGGCAACTGGGACAGAATCCGGTGCCCTGACCGGGACTGGAACCTGGTGTGCCGGCGCCGCAAGGCGGAGGATTAGCCTAGTGAGCCGCAGTGCCGGCAAAAGATGTTTTAAATACTCTTTGAGCAATGTTGCTTTTCAATTTATCAGAATAAATAAGCAATACACACAGATATACACTATATATAACAGCAACAGAAGAAAACAACCTAAATCCCCACTGGTTAGGATCAAGGAATGGTTAAAAAAATACTATATAGCTGTTCAAAGTATGCATAGTATAATTCAATTTATGTAGAAAAAATTGTTATATACATATAATTTTTTTTTAATATTTTTGACAGGCAGAGTGGATAATGAGAGAGACAAAGAAAAAGGTCTTCCTTTTGCGATTGGTTCACCCTCCAATGGCTGCCACGGCTGGCACGCTGAGGCCAGTGTACTGCGCTGATCTGAAGGCAGGAGCCAGGTACTTCTCCTGGTCTCCCATGGGGTGCAGGGCCCAAGCACTTGGGCCATCCTCCACTGCCTTCCCGGGCCACAGCAGAGAGCTGGCCTGGAAGAGGGGCAACCGGGACAGAATCTGGCGCCCCGACCGGGACTAGAACCTGGTGTGCTGGTGCCGCTAGGTGGAGGATTAGCCTATTGAGCCGCGGCGCCGGCCTATACATATAAATTTTTATGTGTATTATATTTGATATCTGTGGGCCGAGATACTTTTACTTTCTATTCTACACATTTCCAAATTCAATTTTAAACAATGAGCATGTATTACCTCTAAAATCTGTGTAAAAAAAAAAAAAAAACCTTTCATTTAAAAATGTAACAAAATAGATGTTTCAAATGAACCACCTGAGTCAACTAACAGATTAATATCCAGAATCTATAAACAGCCCAAGGAAACAAAATACACAATCTAGTTAATGGACAAAGGACTTGAACAGGCATTTTTCAAAAGAGGAAATTCAAATGGCCAACAGACACATGAAAAAATGCTCAGGATCACTAGCCATCAGGGAAATGCAAATCAAAACCACCATGAGGTTTCACCTTACCCTCGTAAGAATGGCTCTCATACAGAAATCAACAAACAACAAATGCTGGCAAGGATGTGGGGGGGAAAGGTACCCTAATATGCCACTGTGGGAATGTAAACTAGTATAGCCATTGCAGAAGACAGTATAGAGATTCCGCAAAAATCTGAAAATAGATCTACCATATGACTCAGCCATTACACTCCTAGTAATTTACCAAAACAAAATGAAAATTGGCATATGAAAGTTATCTGTTATAAATATGTTTATTGCAGCTCAATTCACAATAACTAAATTTTGGAATCAACCTAGATGTCCAGCAAATGTTGACTGGATAAAGAAATTATGGGATATATACACTATGGAATACTACTCAGCTATAAAAAAGAATGAAATCTTGTCTTCTGTAACAAAGGGATGTAAATGGAAAGCTTTATATTTATTGAAATAAGCCATTCTCAAAAAGGCAAAACCATGTCTTTTCTGATCTGTAGAAACTACCAGAGTACCAAAAATGTCATGTATAGGAGTGAAACTGACATTTTGAGATTTGATTATGTATAACCCTTGTCTTTACTGTTGAGGAACAGTGTTTTTTTTCTTCTATTTGTTGAATTACTTAGTGGAGGGTTAAGTTTATAAAATAAACTGAAAATATGTCACTGTAAAAATTAGGATGGAGGAGGGAGGGTATGAGTGTGGGAGAAAGGGTAGGGTGGGAAGTATCACTGTACTCCTAAACATATATGAAATACATAAAATTTGTTCAGCTTATGTAAATTTAAAAATACAGTGCTATTTAAGAAGTCCTAAAGTTATCAGGCAATAAAATTATATTCTATAAAGTAATTAAATTAGCAAGCAATTTTCTAATAACAACCATTAATATAAAAAAGAACTGACATAAATTTGGCCTGTCAGTACAGAGTGTCCCTTAGTTAAGTACAACGCAAAAATAAAACAGCATTGATTTGTCACAGTGGTTCTAGACTTTCACCTGTTGCTCTTTGATCTGTGAAACAACGTGTGTGTGTGTGTGTCTGCACTTTGATCCTAACAATCTATTCTGGCCCCGATTCTAACAATGACCAAAAAAATAGAGGGGTTGGGTGGGATATTATGTTTCTAATGATTTAAATACAAATGCTGATAAATTATGAAGTCTTCCCAAAAAGATTCCTGCTAATGACAGCCAGTGTCCCAAACTGTAATTCTGAGAATAAGTCGTCTTTTTTTTTTTTTTATAAACACTCACTAGCGTGACATAAAGGAAGCACAGAAAAACGAATTAGGCCTAATAAAGGTATCACTACGGTGTTACCCTGTCAATGACGTCAGAGAACAAAACCTACAAGGCCTTTAAAGCTGGCAACTGATTTCAAAAGGCCTTACCACCACCTGTTCCCTTGTTTTCTCCCGGGAGTGCTTCCTGCAAGCCAGCTTCCCTATGCCAGTTTTCTGACCAGACAACCCAATTTGCCTAAAAATCAAATCAGTTGAGAATAACAACATAAAATAAACCTCTTTGAAAGATGGACCCACTGAAAAAACAGTCAATTATCTCCAGAGAATTAGGTCCACAAAACTGTACTAAATGACTGTTTTTACCCCCATATAAATGGAGTTTTCCCTCTACTGATTTGGTTTTAATAATCCACATGTTAACTGGGTTAAGACAGGGGCTGGGGCTTTAGCTGTGGCATAGCGAGTAAAGCCACCATCTACAGAGCCAGCATCCCATATGAGAGCCAGTTTGATTCCTAGCTGCTCCACTTCTGATTCAGCTCCCTGCTAATGGGCCTGGCAAAGCAGTAGAGGGTGACCGAAGTGCTTGGGCCCCTATACCCACGTGGAAGACCAGAAAGAAACTCCTGCCTTCTAGCTTCAGTCTGGCCCAGCTATGGCCACTGTAGTGTGAATCAGCAGACAGAAGATAGATCGATCGATCTCTGTCTCTCTCCCTCTCCCTCTAACTCTTCCTTTCAAATAAATAAATCTTTTTAAAAAATTGGGTTAAGACAGTAATTGAATATTACCCAAAAAGAAAAGAAATAGAATATGCGTCTGAAATTGCCAAAGTCATCTAAGAGAAATCACTGAGCACCTGAGCAGATACACAGGTTGGCACCAGAGCAGCACAAATGTCTCCTGCTTGCTACATGAGACACCCAAGTTGTAAATACCTGGAATCTACAAAACCCTTATGAAATAAAGAAATACTTGACACTTACTGTTTACAGGATCTTTTTTCTCTGAAGATGAATGTCCTGGAAAGGAAATAGCATTGTTTTATGAGCATTAAGAAACATTTTGGCGTGCAGTGCAACAGTTGAAACCAGAACCAGTCTTACCAATAGACTAGGTTGCAACAGGTCAGCTGCAATATAAGCAACAAATCCTAATGTCTATGGACACAGTCAACATCTGAAAAGTTCATGAATACTCATTTTTCACAATATTTTTCAAAGATCATATACAGGTGACAATTAGCTGATAATAATACATACCATTACATCATACAGCAAAAAGTATCAGTTTATGATGGTTCTCCAGTGTGGAAAGCAGAAAAAGAAAAGCTCTGATGATCTGTTAGTGTAAAGACCTAAGGGAACTATTTCTGAACACAGATAAAGTGAAGGTGGACTGAGAGTAACATTTCCTCTGGCATTCCTAGACAAGTCTCAGAGGCCAAAGGGTATGGCTCCTTGAAGGCCAAAGAGGGTTTAAGAACTACAGGGAGAGATACAAGAAATGTATTCTTTCCTATCATCCTATAATATGGGAACAGGACATCTGTTTCCAAATACCCAAAGGTCTAAGAGATCAAGCTTACTCTGGAGGCATAAGGACATAATCAGAACCAAAGGAAGGAGGCTGTAGGGTTGAGGAACCTGTTAGCAATTACAACGATCTGAGAATAGAAAGGACTATTTTGGATGGTAGTGAGTTCCTTTTCCCTGGGATGTTAAAGCAACAGTAGAACCACCACAGGATACAGCACAGTACCTCTCTCAACCACACCGTGCAACGAATCTTTCTGGGAACTTGTTAGTGGCTCTGGGGAGTCTGAGACTGCGTTTCTGACAAGTTCCGAGGTGATAACATTCCTGGCCACAGAACCACACTTTGAAAGCAACACTGTGGAATATCCATTCAATCCTGATTCCAGGACTGATCTGATGTTCTTTTTGACTCTGGGAAACTATTCACCCATTCACTTAGTCACCTATTATTTAATGACTGCCTGCTATGTGAAGCCAACTGTGTTAGAAATGGAGACAGTGAACTATAAAGTCACAGTCTTTTGCCCCACAGAAATTAAAAAAAATTATTCTAAGATTGTTATATATTTCTTTTCTTTTTAAAGATTTAATTATTTGAAAGGCAGAGTTTCAGAGAGGCAGAGGCAGAGAGAGAAAGGTCTTCCATCTGCTGGTTCACTCCCCAAATGGCCCTAATGGCTGGAGCTGGGCTGATCCGAAGTCAGGAGCCAGGAGCTTCCTCCAGGTCTCCCATGTGGATGCAGGGGCCCAAGGACTTGGGCCGTCTTCCACTGCTTTCCCAGGCCATAGCAGACAGCTGGATTGGAAGTGGAGCACTGGGACTCAAACCAGTGCCGGCGGCAGCTTTACGTGCTATGCCACAGTGCTGGCTCCAACAGTAGTATGTATTTATAAAGGGGAAGGGCAGGGTGCTACTGCAATGTGTTAACAGCTACTTAATTTTGTTTGGAGGGGTGAGGTAAAGGGTGCCAGAAGAACTAAACTAAGCTGAAACTTGAAGGATGAGGTGGCCTTTAGGAAAGGGGAGATGATGTAAGAGGTAAGATCTGAAACTTGCTGCCAGAAAAGTCTACCTAAATTCTGCCCATACCTGCCAAAGCAGACTGGACCTTCATGTCAAGCTATTGGTCTTTCTTACTTTCTAGCTATCCATTCATTCACTGACTTATTAACATTTTCTATGATGGTAACTTGAAGCTATGGGAGTAGATGGAATCACAGAGGGAGGTAAAAGAAACATTTGGTAAGAATCCTGAGGAGCTCCAATACCTAAGGGTAAGACTAAGGAGCCAATGCTGTCAAAAGAAGCTGAGGGTTGAGGCTGGCGTTGTGGCATAGTGAGTAAAGCCACCGCCTGTGACACCGCATCCCATATGGGTGCCAGTTTGGGTCATGACTGCTCCACTTCTGGTCCAGCTCCCTGCTAATGGCCTGGGAAAGCAGCAGTGAACAGCAATAGTGCTTGGGGCCCTGTTCCCACATGGAAGATCCAGAAGAAGCTCCTGGCTCCAGGTTTCGGATTGGCCTGGCTCCAGCTGTTGCAGACATTTGGGGCATGAACCAGCGGATGGAAGACCTCTCTTCTCTGTCTCTCTCCCTCCTATATTAACAAATAAATCTTAAAAAAAAAAAAAAAAAAAAAAAGCTGAGGAGAAGCCAAGAAAGACAACTAAGACAGGAATAAACTCAAGAGTGTAAGTTGCTTTGAGAAGGAATTTCGGCATTCCAAATGCAGCATTTATTAATTATTATTTCAATTTCAGCTAAATTAAAGTGGTCTGACAAGAAAAAAAATCAGATTAGGGCCAGTGTTGTGGTGTACATAGCAAGTAAAGCCTCTGCCTGCAGCACAGGCATCCCATATAGGCACTGATTCCAGTCCCAGCTGCTCTACTTCTGATCCAGCTCCCTGCTAATGCACCTGAGAAAATGGTGGAGGGTGGTCCAGGCACTTGGGCCCCTACACCCACATGACAGACTAGCAGAAAATTTCTGACTCCTAGCTTCAGATTGGCCCAGCTCCGGCCACTGTGGCCATTTGGAAAGTGAACCAGTGGATGAAAGATCTCTCTCTGTTTATCTCTTTCTCTGAACTCTGTTTCAAATAAATCTTTTTTAAAAATCTATTTATTTGAAAATGAGAGTTACACAGAGAGGAAGAGAGAGACAGAAACATTCCATCTGCTGATTCACTACCCAAATGGCCGCAATGGTCAGGGCTGGGCCAGGCAGAAGCCAGGAGCCGCCTTCAGGTCTCTGACGTGGGCACAGGGGTCCAAGCACTTGGGCCATCTTTGGCTGCTTCCCCAGGTGCATTAACAGGGAGCTGGATTGGAGGTGAGCAGCTGGGACACATATGGGATGCAGGCATCACAGGTGGTGGTGGCGGCTTAACCAGCTATGCCACAGCACTGGCCACAGATAAATAAATATTAAAAAAACAAAGCAAAACACATCAAATCAAACCAGTTCTAGATGATCCTAGTAAGACAACATGAAAGAGTTCCATACAATTTTCCTAAGTCTGCAAAAACTGTTATTTTCTATTTTATACTACAGAAGGTTTTTGTTGTTGTTGTTTCTAAAAAGCTATATTCTGGAGACTGCTTTCATAGTTTTGCCGAACAGAAAATAAAAGATGCCTCAATTCCATCCTCCTTTGATTTTCTAACCCAATATTCCCAAAGTTGCCCTGAAACAACTTCTTCACTATTTATGTGGAATAAGTGCCGTGATATAGCAATGAACACAGCAGGCAGAATTCCTGCCCTTCTTAGACTTTTATGTCATTGTCTTATGAGTCAAAAAGGAAAGTTCTAGGGGTACTGATAGCATTATAAATCAGAGTTCTAACACAGGTTCAAGGTGGGGAGATGGATCAGGGATGAGACTGGACCCTTCAGATCATCTCGCTCGCTCTCTGTATATGTGTGTGTGTGTATATATATATGTACATATGTGTATATATGTGTGTGTGTGTGTGTATATATATATATATTTGTATGTATGTATACATGGAAAATGGTATTTTAGGATCTGGCTGGGGGCTTTAGAAAAAAGGGAAGCAGCATCATATAAGCCCTAAAATGGGAAGAAGCTTAGCATTTTCTAGAACTGAAAGGTTATGTGGGTGGAGTGTGAAAGTGAAATAGAGAATAGTGAAAAACGAGCTTTGTATGTATACAGAGGTCAGATCATATATAGCCTTTCAACTTTATCCAGGATTTTGGTTATTATCCTAAGAACAACAAGAAATCACTGGTTTATGGAGAATGGATTAAGGGGAGGGGAAGTGTGATGGCAAGACAGTGAGCAAACCAGTAAGACTTTAGCAGATACCTTCAGATGAGAAATACAAACTCTTAGAGATACAAAATTTAAGATTAAACCTAAACAATGAGAGAAAAGAGATAACAAGGATAATTCCTAGATTTCTGGTATTAGTTTTTTTAGGTCAGCTCAGGTGACATGTACTGAAATATGGAACACTAAAGCAAAGACATCTGAAAGGAAAACCACAGGCATATGTATGTATGCTCTGAAGGGACGGATCTCATCCCTGATCCTGAGTATCCAGCTACATTGTCCTCAGTTTTGAAGGTACTGAATGGCCTCTTACAAAGTAGTCTCATTCTTCTTTAATCTGGGATGAACAGTAGTAAACATGGTATCATGGGGCTGATGCTGTGGCCTGCAGTGCTGGCATCCTATATGGGTGCCGGTTCAAGTCCCAGCTGCTCCACTTGCAATCCAGCTCTCTGCCATGGCCTGGGAAAGCAGAAGATGGCCCAAGTCCTTGGGCCCCTGCACCCACTTAGGAGACCCCAAGGAAGCTCCTGGCTCCTGGCTTCGGATAAGCCCAGCTGTAGCCATTGCGACCATTTGAGAAGTGAACCAAAGGATGGAAGACCTATGCCTTTCTTTCTCTCTCTCTCTCTCTGCCTCTCAAATAAATAAATCTTTAAAAAAAAAAAGGTATCATAGAATATCAATGCAGTATTATATAATGCCACAGAATTTACAAATGACAATTTAAATATTTTACCAGTACATTAGAATAAAAATTTTTAAACTGAAGTGAAATTTTTACATTATTCATCAAAAAATTTCTTCACAGTTGGGAAATGATTGAGACAAAAAAACATTCTGCTTCAAATGCAAGCTCAAAATAAGCAACAGAATAATGCTATCTTCCTCTAACCATCTATTAATTTTACTAAGTTTAAAACCTGGTTATACTATATATGTGAATAGTCTAACTCTACCTACGTAACAAATACATGCAAGAAAAAAGATGCACCTAAGAACCCAACACAGCTACTGATCTTCATAACTGGAGGAAGGGAGACCTCTACTGGTGCACGTATTCTATTAACATCAGCTTGAATCCAGCTCAGTCTACCATTACCTACCAGCTTAAGTCTGACTCACTGTAAAAGTTAGTCAAGTTGACTTTTATTTTATTATGGGCGAAAAAGCAAACTAGATGTAACCTCCATAATAGCTAATTATGTGCCAGACCCTATGCAAACTGCTTAACGAATTATCTTGTTTCAACTTCCAAAGACTCCTATAATGTAGGTGCTACTATCATGACCATTCTACATTTGAAGAAATGGAGGCTTACAAAGCTTAAGGACTGCTGAGGAAGAAGCAAGCAGCTGCCTGACAAATTTGGTAATTATTTACTAAGTATATGTACACAACACCATGTGAGGTGAGGACACAGATACTATGTCAATCTCTCCCATTTCAAGGATCTCATAAGGTAGAAAAAAAAATCATGCAGGCCATTATAACTAAATTCATATTATTATAAATTTTATACTGCCATAAAGATATAAACTATTTTGCAGTGTTCAAAGAGACCTTCACATTCTTATCTGATTCTCCACAGTAAGCTGGATGAGTATGGTATTCACATTACCTCCACATACATGAGAAAAGTAAAACTCAAAAAGTTCAGAGACTTGTCCAAAGTAACCAATCTGAAGGTGACAAACCAGGAATCGGAATACTCTTTGCAATACTGCAACTATCTTCCAGAAATGAAGCAAAACCAACTATGTTCTTAAAACTTACATCACTATAAATTCATATTTAAATTCTTCAGCCCATCTCTTTTCAACTACCATAAAGTGATATTCTACATATACTGATCAATTACATTCTAAATCTGAGATACGGCAAGGGCAGGCATTGGGCACAGCAGTTAAGATGCTGCTTAGGATGCCCACATCCCATATCAGAGTATCTGGGTTTCAGCCTTGGCTGGCTCCTGATTCCAGGTTCCTGTTAATGTGCATTCTGGAAGGCAGCAGGTGATGGCTCAAGTTCTTGAGTCCCTGCCACCCACATGGGAGACCAGGACTGAATTCCTGTTCCTGACTTTGGCCCAGCCCAGCCTCAGCTGTCTCTGTCAACTAGTGAACGGAAGGTCACTCTCTGTCACTATCTTTCGAATAAACACAATTGGAGAAAGAAAGAAAGAGATTGCAGATTATATTTCATGTTTGAAAATACAAGTAACTACTATATCTTTATTTCCCTTTACCTTTATCCTTCTTCTTGGAGGTCTCTTCTGCAGAAGATAATCTGGATTTTTTATGTGATGACTCTTGACAATATTTTTTGGTTTTATCCTTTCTTTTTTTTGACTTGATTTCTTTCCTCCTTTATGTTAAACAACACAAAATAAAAGTTATTTTTTTCAACTAACCTTCACCAAAAATAAAACCAATGAACAAAAATGTCCACTCAATTAAAGCACTTACTTTTAAAATGTGATTTATGTAATAAAGAACCTTAAATGAGTCTGTATCTATTTTAAGTTGTCTATTTTAAGACAATTCTGTAAGATGATAAAACCTAAACATTGAGACAAAGATTATAAATCAGTTTTATTTGTTTCCTTCTTTCTGTAATCAACCATTTAAAAGAAAACTACAAAAGCAAATCTCATTTTTCCACGTACACATTGAAAAAGAATAAAACTGCTTAACAGCTCAAAAACGCCAGTAAACAGAAATTTTTCCTCTTAAGAGTAAAGGACTATAATAAAAATTTAATGGAAGAGGCCTACTGCTAACTCCTAAGTCAACTTCAGGTCATCCATAATTTACCCTCCTATTGCTTTGTATCTCCCTCTTCTAAGCCAGGTTTACAAGGTTGTTGGCACCATGGTTGGCGGCAATCTATTTTAAGTGGTTAAGAAAAGGAATATTAAACAAGAAAGGGTGATGGTGCTGAAATTAGAGTTAGCACAGAGGATAAACAAAGGAGAGGATAACTTTCAAAAAAGTTGTTTACCAGACTTCCCAAATTAGGGTGCATACATCAAATGCTGTAATACTGTTTAAGGTGGTAATCTCTTTTGCCTCCCTCATCAGTATCAATTCTATCTGTCTCTGTCTATCCTTCAAATAAAGAAAATTTATTCCCTTGACAATCTTTTTTGGTTTAATGAAGCTCAAGGTCAAACAACATCTACGGTTTCTTTCAGTGTCATCAACAGAAAGAGAAAACAAAGGCTTGCCCTAGCCAAGTAATCTAAAAATACCTGCTGATTTTAAGAAATAAAAAGCTATTTAATGTCCCAAGCTAAATACTAGACTGGTGCTTTACTATAGAAGCTGATTTTAAAATTAACATGCTTATGTGAACATTTTGTAAAAAGTCACAGAATCTGTTGCAACTATTATTCAGAAAATGAAAGCTGACCATTACCACAACAGCAATTCACACAGATTTTGTATGAAATGCCAGAGACTATGTTTCACTATGCCCTTTCATTTCCTCTCCACAGTAACTTTAGCAGCCTCATTTTTACAGATAAAATTAAGTCTTCCTGAGATTAACAGCTTGCCAAGGAGCAGCCTAGTAAGAGGAGTGCCTGATGGGAATGCCCAGGTCTGATTCTGAAGCTCAGGATCTTACACACAGCACACTCTGTGGGACACTGGTACTCCCATACAACCAACAAGGCAGACATACTGGAAATTATTCAACAGGAGCCCAGTTTAAATACAGAAATAAGTAGAGAGGTATATAATCATAAGAATAGCAAACTCCAGCTATAGCACTGTGTAAGAGATACAACAGTCATTATGAAGTCTGCTTTACAGCAGTTTCTAAGAAAATTAAGGCATCTGGGCCGGCGCCGTGGCTCAATAGGCTAATCCTCCACCTTGCGGCGCCGGCACACCGGGTTCTAGTCCCGGTTGGGGCGCCGGATTCTGTCCCGGTTGCCCCCCTTCCAGGCCAGCTCTCTGCTATGGCCAGGGAGTGCAGTGGAGGATGGCCCAGGTGCTTGGGCCCTGCACCCCATGGGAGACCAGGAAAAGCACTTGTCTCCTGGCTCCTGCCAGGATCAGCGCGGTGCGCCGGCTGCAGCGGCGGCCATTGGAGGGTGAACCAACGGCAAAGGAAGACCTTTCTCTCTGTCTCTCTCTCTCACTGTCCACTCTGCCTGTAAAAAAAAAAAAAAAAAAAAAAAAAAAAAAAGAAAATTAAGGCATCTGAACATTGGCTCCAAACTAAAACTTCTAACATTCATCAACCACCCTACATAGGCCCTCACATTCAAAACTGCTTGTCTAGAACTGGGAATGGCAGATTTGTAACTGCCTACCTTATGTGGTTGTATCTCACGCTTGACTGTGTGTATACAGTAACCCATGAACACCCAAGTCTGCACTTAGACACTCAATACAGGCCAATCACTATGTCCAAGAGTTCTAAACATTGCAAGTTATATTTTAAAAGACAGTATTACCTGTGATGGAAATTTAATTTAAAGGAACATTCTTGGCATAGCCCTAATAAAAGAAAAAGCACCACTGAATTATTGAATTGGAATAACTACACTAACTACTCTAATATTAAAAAATTCAACTTTTCTTTATATTCCTTTACTACATAAGCAGGAAAAGCAAATAATCTGAAAACACTCCGCCCGTCACCATTACAAAAACTGCATACATACAGAATTGTACCTCAGTCTCCACAGTGGGTTAAAGGAGGTCCCCTTAGATATCTAAATCTGCAGCTGTTTGTTATTTATATAAATGCAATTAAAATTTGCATATAACCTACACACATCCTCTCATATGCTTTAAATCATCTCTAGATTACTTATAATAACTAATACAATGTAAATAGTATGTAATATTTGTTCTACCATATTGTTTAGGACATAATGATCAGTAAAAAAAGTCTACACATGTTTAGTACAGGAACAACTTTTTAAAAAAATATTTTCAATTTGCCACTGGTTCAATCAGCAGATACAGAACACACAGATACAGAGGGCCAAATATACATGTAAATAACAAAAATATTAGAATGCTTTGAGGATTTGAAAACACTTTAATATTACTTTAGAAAACTGTGTTGTCAAGTTATTCCAAAAACAAACTGTGCTCCATAACCAGTATTAACTTGTGTCTCCCATCAAAGGTATTTACTAACAATATGGGCATAATCATTTCCTCTGAAGTGCTCTAACAACTTTCAAAAGCAGGAGATTTTCAAACAGTTCTACAGTTGTGGCTGCCTCTCTTGCCTTAACTTCATTCCACACAGGCTGATTTTCCCTCAGGAAGACTTCCAGGAGGAACTCAAAAACCAGTCTGCATTGATGTATGTAAGAAGGGGGTGGGAATTATTGATGTCTAGCAGGAATGTACTTAAAACTCTGGGCACATTTACTGAGGACCTAGATAAGGCTGAAGGCCACTGAAATGACAAGGGAGAGGAACAGCAGACACATGAAGGCTAGCTTAAAACTCAAGAATGATGGATTTTAAAACACGCATATTAGGGGAAACTGTTGTGTTCTGGAGTAAATTCCTAATCTTTTAAGATTACTATCAAGAACAATTATGCCATCCTTATATTTTTCTTTATTGATACTGTCAAAGATACTGGTACCACCCATACCATGACAATATGCCCAAGTAATCGCTCATGTGAGGATTTACATTGCCTTTTCTAATAATTTGCTTCTTAGTCACATAACTTAGTGACAGCCTGGAAAATGGGAAGAGATTTTCACTCCACAAATAATGTTTACATTTAATATTAGAATTGTTTCACCAAAACATCACTTTAATGCTAAAAATATAAAAATCTTAGGCTCAAAAATTGAGACTTTGGGAAACTCTGAGGAAAAATAAAGTTTCCAAGGAAAAAATGTCAAAAGCTTTGTACTTGAATTTTAAAGTCTAAATATTAAAAATAAACTTGGAATAAATCAATCTTATCCCCTCCCTCTGAAGTCAACTTACTTAGTTTAACAAGTGCATTTCTCTTTTCACCATGCTCAATATAACCAAAATTAACTTCCCAGCTCTTTAAGCCTTCTTTTTCATCACAATATTTATTTCCACAGAAAAATTGACCTTAAAAAATGAAAGGAATATTAGCCAAGGTAATTGGTAACAATATTTATCTATATGACCTGCCAATAACTCCAAAAATTTACTTTTAAAATACACACATTCTTAGCTACATAACATTGGCATGAAAAATTAACTGACCACAATAAATATAGTATGTTCAACAAATGTTGAAATCCATCAAATAATTGAACTGTTGCAAAAAAAAATCATTCTAGAATTCTTGCTTAATACATTCATTATCTGTATTTACAGATAGTTTTAATAACTCCCTATTAAGTGATCTTACACTTTGGAAAGTGAAAGTATTGAGAAGTGTACTCACTAAAACCATCAAAGAGTAAATGCATTTTCCAAAGTATTTGTATACATACCTAGGTGAATTCTTTCATTATTCAATAGTAATATTTAAAATTAGTGTTTTTTAAAGATTTATTTATTTAAAAGACAGAATGACAGAAAGAGAAGGAGAGATAGAAATATCTTCTATTCACTGATCTACTCCATAAATGGTCACAGCTCGGCCCAGGTTAAAGTCAGGAGTCAGGAACTCAATCCAGTTCTCCCACATGGGCGGCAGGCACGCAAACACCTGAGCTAGCCTCTGCTGCTCCCCATGCACATTAAAGGGAGCTGGATCAGAAGCAGATTAGCTGCAACTCAAACTGGCACTCTGATATGGGTGGGATGCAGTGTCCCAAATGGTAGCTTAACGTGCTGTGCCACAAAAATGACCCCAAAATTACTATTTTAAATATTAACATAATGACATGTATTTTAAGCATTAGAAAAAACTGGCATCAAAAATACTTTTTAAAATTCTAGCACCCTGAGATGAAGTACAGTAAGTAATCAAAGCTGAAACTCTAAATTTTAGAATCCCTTAATACTAATATTAATACCACATTACCCCGCATAGGTGTTTGGCCTTCTAGTTAAGACATCAGCATTCTCACATCAGTGTGCCTGGGTTTTATTCCCGGCTCTGGCTCCTGATTCCAGCTTCCCAATAAGCAGTAGTAACAGCTCAAGAAACTGTATTTCTGCCACCTGTGTGGGAGACCTGGTTCATGTTGCTAGAAGCTGGTTCTAGCCCCAGCCCCTGGCCTTGCAGGCAATTTGGGGAGTAAATTCATGGGTGAAAGCTGTCTCTGTCCTTCTACTTCTTATATAAAATTTTAAAAGGAAAAGAAACCACATTAGTATGTCCATTAAAACCTCCAAAAAGAGGGCTAACACCAATGACACAAGAAAAACAACTACGTAAGTTGATTTAATCTAAAAATATCCTTTATTTCAGTACAAAAGATTTTTAGATTTTAAATTATTTCTGGCCGGCTCCATGGCACAATAGGCTAATCTTCCACCTGCGGCGCCGGCACACCAGGTTCTAGTCCCAGTCGGGGCGCCGGATTCTGTCCTGGCTGCCCCTCTTCCAGGCCAGCTCTCTGCTGTGGCCAGGGAGTGCAGTGGAGGATGGCCCAAGTGCTTGGGCCCTGCACCCCATGGGAGACCAGGAGAAGCACCTGGCTCCTGCCTTTGGATCAGCGCAGTGCGCCGGCTGCGGCGGCCATTGGAGGGTGAACCAACGGCAAAGGAAGACCTTCTCTCTGTCTCTCTCTCTCACTGTCCACTCTGCCTGTCAAAATAAATAAATAAATAAATAAATAAATAATTTCTGAAATGCTTTTATATAGTTTCAAAAATATTAAGTTAAAATGCAATTCTTCCATAAAGAGCTAATTTTATAGCAAGAGACAGTAAAGAGGCATACAATTTTCAGAAAAATTTTATGAACAGATTACCACAATGCATAGAAAAAGTACCTACTGGGATTGGATTAAAATGGTGGAGTAGGGAAGGAGCTTACTGCTCTACTGAAGGAGAAGGTAGTTTTAAAGAAGTGGAGAGAGTGCAGTCTCAGGGAAGAGTTAGGGAGCAAACAGCAGAGGAAACTCCACGCAAATTAGAGGGACAAAGTGGACCCTTGTGGAGGGAATGGACACACAAATCAGGACCACGGCAGCCAAGAGCCTCCACACCAGCTTTGGAGAGAGGTGAGACCAGAATGCAGCAGCCTAAGCCACAGTTGATAAAGCTGCAGGAAAAGCCTGGTGGGAATCCAGCTTGGAGTCCTGTGGGGTTCAGTGCACCTGCCAAACTAGAGGAGAAAAAAAAAAAAAAAGAGGCAAGCAGCATACTTCTTTCTCCCCAATCACTCTACAACGACATCCTGTAACAAGCCGACAGAGAGTGGTGCCATTTTGGACATATGTAACAGCTGCAAAGGCTTATATCTGCACCGAGCACCCAGCTGAGCAGAGACTCCTGAGTCTGGCGAAGAGAACTGATTGGCGGGGGGGGGGGGGGGGGGGGGGGGGTAGGGGGGACACGACGACTGGGTGCTGGTTACTGTGGGAGGCTTGTGTGCCAGGACAATGAAAACACTGAGGCTGCCTGGGAAGGCTCAGGGTGTGGCTGGGACTTTGGGCAGTCACTGTGGGAGGCTCCACACGCTCAGGCTTCCCTGGTGAGGAACACTGCTGCGCAATCTGCTTACACTGAGGACTGCACAGATCCTTTGTGTGGTCCTTGTGCACTAGTCTCTTTTGAGGAAAGGAAATGAGCTCAGTCTACACCAACAGAACAGAAAAACCTCCCTTCTGATTAAAAAAAGAGAGAGATTTACCACATCCAACCTGGAAGTCACCTTAACACTCCCTTCACCCTGGAGCACTGAACAGAAATTAAGCAAAACTAAGCAAAAACACCCTGGCCACATGTTTGAAGACATGCCAGAAATGGAATTCAAAAAATTGATAATATAACTTAGAAGTAATCAGATGTAGGCCGGTGCCGCAGCTCAATAGGCTAATCGTCCGCCTTGCAGCGCCGGCACACCGGGTTCTAGTCCCGGTTGGGGCGCCGGATTCTGTCCCAGTTGCCCTTCTTCCAGGCCAGCTCTCTGCTGGACAGAGACTTGCCAGGGAGTGCAATGGAGGATGGCCCAAGTGCTTGGGCCCTGTACCCCATGGGAGACCAGGAGAAGCACCTGGCTCCTGGCTTCGGATCAGCGCTGTGCGCCGGCCACAGCAGCCATTGGGGGGTAAACCAATGGAAAAGGAAAACCTTTCTCTCTCTCTCTCTCTCTCTCTCTCACTGTCCACTCTGCCTGTCAAAAATAAAAAAATAAATAAATAAATAAAAGAAGTAATCAGATGCAAATGCACAAGCTAATGAAATCTGTACATGACATGAAAGAAAATTTCTCCTATGAAATTGAGATCTTAGAAAGTAAAATGAAATCTTGGAAATGAAGAATCCAACAGAACATATAAAAATGCATTAACAAAAAAAGCATTAACAAAAATTGGTGAAGCAAAAGAAAGAATATCCAACTTAGAAGACAAAGCACAGGAAATTATACAGTCAGACAAAACACAAGAAGAAGAAATTAGAAAAATAAAAAACACTGCTGGAGATCTACAGGGTACTATCAAATGACGCAACATACGGGTTCTAGGAGTTCCTTAAGGCATGGAAACAGAGAAAGGATTAGAAGGTCTTTTTAGTGAAATAATAACGGAAAACTTCCCTAATTTAGAGAAAGAAAGGGACATACAAGTACAGGAAGCACACAGACCTCCCAACAAACATGACCAAAAAGATCTTCACCACGACACATCGTAATTAAACTCTCCACAGTAAAACATAAAGAATGGATTCTAAAATGTGTATGAAACACTAGATTGCTTTCAGAGGATCTCCAATTAGACTCACAGCAGATTTCTCATCAGAAACCCTACTAGCTAGAAGAGAATGGCGAGATATACTCCAAGTCTTAAAGAGAAAAAAACTGTCAACCCAGAATACTATACCCTGAAAGAAAGTGAAATAAACACCTTCCACAGGAAACAGAAATTGAAATAATTTGTTACCACTCCTCCAGCCTTGTGAAAGATGCTTAAGGATGTGCAGCACACAGAAACATGGTTATCACTATGAAAGAAGGTAAAGGAAGAAAATCTCCCAGTTAAAAGTACAAAGGAAAACCAAAGTAAAAAATAGGAATATTTATAGAAAAATGGCAGGGCAAAGTCGTTACTTATCAATACTTTGAATGTAAACTCTTTTACATTTTTAACTCCTCAGTTAAAAGACACAGACTGGCTGAATGGATTGAAAAACAAACCTATCAATTTGCTGCCTACAAGAAATACATCTCACCAACAAATGCATGCAGACTGAAAGTAAAAGGATGGAAAAAGATATTCTATGCTAACAGAAACCAAAAAAGAGCTGGTGTAGCTAACCTAATATCAGACAAAATAGATATCCACAGAAATGTGTTAAAAGAGACAAAGAAAGGCACTAAGTAATGATTAAGGGATCAATTCAACAGGAAGATGTAACTATTTTAAATGTATCTGCACCTAATTACAGGGCACCAGGCTACTTAATAGAAATGTTAAGGGATATAAAGGGAGACATGGACACAAATACAATAATAATGGGGGGCTTTAATAACTCACTTTCAGCAATGGACAGATCAACCAGACAGAAAATCAGCAAGGAAACAACAGAGTTAACACTTAGACCAAATGGACCTAAGATATCTATAGAACTTTCCATCCTACAGCCACAGAATACATATGCTTCTCAGCAGTGCATGGTTCTCTAGGACTGACCACATACTAGGCCATAAAGCAAGTCTCAGCAAATTAAAAAAAAAAAAAATCGAAATCAGATCAGGCATCAATGGAATAAAGTTGGAAATCAACAACTCAGGAACTCTTAGAACATATGCAAACACATGGAGACTGAACAACATGCTCCTGAATGAACAGTGGGTCATAGAAAAAATCAAAAGAGAAATCAAAAGATTCCTGGAAACAAATGAAGATGACAACACAACACATCAACACTTATGGGATACAGAAAAAGTAGTGTTAAGAAGAATGTTTACAGCAATTGGTACCTATATCAAGAAATTGGAAAGGCCC